CATGGAACAATTTCAAAGATTTTATTGAGTTACAGTTTATACAGTGAGGGAAAAAAGTATTTGATCCCCTGCTGATTTTGTACGTTTGCCCACTGACAAAGAAATGATCAGTCTATAATTTTAATGGTAGGTTTATTTGAACAGTGAGAGACAGAATAACAACAAAAAAATCCAGAAAAACGCATGTCAAAAATGTTATAAATTGATTTGCATTTTAATGAGGGAAATAAGTATTTGACCCCCTCTCAATCAGAAAGATTTCTGGCTCCCAGGTGTCTTTTATACAGGTAACGAGCTGAGATTAGGAGCACACTCTTAAAGGGAGTGCTCCTAATCTCAGCTTGTTACCTCTATAAAAGACACCTGTCTACAGAGGCAATCAATCAATCAGATTCCAAACTCTCCACCATGGCCAAGACCAAAGAGCTCTCCAAGGATGTCAGGGACAAGATTGTAGACCTACACAAGGCTGGAATGGGCTACAAGACCATCGCCAAGCAGCTTGGTGAGAAGGTGACAACAGTTGGTGCGATTATTCGCAAATGGAAGAAACACAAAATAACTGTCAATCTCCCTCGGCCTGGGGCTCCATGCAAGATCTCACCTCGTGGAGTTGCAATGATCATGAGAACGGTGAGGAATCAGCTCAGAACTACACGGGAGGATCTTGTCAATGATCTCAAGGCAGCTGGGACCATAGTCACCAAGAAAACAATTGGTAACACACTACGCCGTGTAGGACTGAAATCCTGCAGCGCCCGCAAGGTCCCCCTGCTCAAGAAAGTACATATACAGGGCCGTCTGAAGTTTGCCAATGAACATCTGAATGATTCAGAGGAGAACTGGGTGAAAGTGTTGTGGTCAGATGAGACCAAAATCGAGCTCTTTGGCATCAACTCAACTCGCCATGTTTGGAGGAGGAGGAATGCTGCCTATGACCCCAAGAACACCATCCCCACCGTCAAACATGGAGGTGGAAACATTATGCTTTGGGGGTGTTTTTCTGCTAAGGGGCAGGACAACTTCACCGCATCAAAGGGACGATGGACGGGGCCATGTACCGTCAAATCTTGGGTGAGAACCTCCTTCCCTCAGCCAGGGCATTGAAAATGGGTCATGGATGGGTATTCCAGCATGACAATGACCCAAAACACACGGCCAAGGCAACAAAGGAGTGGCTCAAGAAGAAGCACATTATGGTCCTGGAGTGGCCTAGCCAGTCTCCAGACCTTAATCCCATAGAGAATCTGTGGAGGGAGCTGAAGGTTCGAATTGCCAAACGTCAGGATCGAAACCTTAATGACTTGGAGAAGATCTGCAAAGAAGAGTGGGACAAAATCCCTCCTGAGATGTGTGCAAACCTGGTGGCCAACTACAAGAAACGTCTGACCTCTGTGATTGCCAACAAGGGTTTTGCCCCTTGTACTAAGTAATGTTTTGCAGAGGGGTCAAATACTTATTTCCCTCATTAAAATGCAAATCAATTTATAACATTTTTGACATGCGTTTTTCTGGATTTTATTGTTGTTATTCTGTCTCTCACTGTTCAAATAAACCTACCATTAAAATTATAGACTGATCATGTCTTTGTCAGTGGGCAAACATACAAAATCAGCAGGGGATCAAATACTTTTTTTCCCTCACTGTATAAGGAAATCAGTCAATTGAAATAAATTAATTAGGCCCTAATTTGTGGATTTCACATGACTGGGAATAGAAATACGCATCTGTTGGTCACAGATACCTTAAGAAAAATGCAGGGTCAGTATCTGGTGTGACCACCATTTGCCTCATGCAGCGCGACACATCTCCTTCGCATAGAGTTGATCAGGCTGTTGATGGTGGCCTGTGGAATGTTGTCCCACTCCTCTTCAATGGCTGTGCAAAGTTGCTGGATTTTGGCTGGAATTGGAACACGCTGTCGTACATGTTGATCCAGAGCATCCCAAACATGCTCAATGGGTGAAATGTCTGGTGAGTATGCAGGCCATGGAAGAACTGGGACATTTTCAGCTTCCAGGAATTGTGTACAGATCCTTGCGACATTGGGCTGAGGATTTCGTCACTGTATCTCTGTGCATTCAAATTGCCATCGATAAAATGGGTTTGTTGTCTGTAGCTTATGCTTGCCCATACCATAACCCATACCATAACCCCACTGCCACCATGGGGCACTCTGTTCACAACGTTGACATCAGCAAACTGCTCGCCCACACAACGGCATACACGTGGTCTGCGGTTGTGAGGCTGGTTGGACATAGTGCCAAATTCTCTAAAACGACGTTGGAGGCGGCTTATGGTAGAGAAATTAACATTTAATGCTCTGACAACAGCTCTGGTGGACATTCCTGCAGTCAGCATGCCAACTGCACGCTCCCTAAAAACTTAAGACATCTGTGGCATTGTGTTGTGTGACAAAACATTTTAGAGTGGCCTATTATTGTCCCCGACCAAGGTGCACCAGTGTAATGATCATGCTGTTTAATCAGCTTCTTGATATGCCACACCTGTCAGGTGGATGGTGTCACGATCGTTACATGATGCGGACCAAGGCGCAGCGTGATAAGCGTACATTATTTTATTAAAGTACACCAAACGAACAAAACAACAAAACGATACTAGAAGTCCTAGGTAAACACAAACCTTCCGGAACATGATCCCACAATAAACTGTGCCAAACAGGCTGCCTAAGTATGGTCCCCAATCAGAGACAACAAGCTACAGCTGCCTCTGATTGGGAACCACCCTGGCCAACATAGATATACACGAACTAGAACACAACATAGAAAACTATAACATAGAAAAATCCACACCCTGGCTCAACATATAAGAGTCCCCAGAGCCAGGGCGTGACAGTACCCCCCCCCCAAAGGCGCGGACTGCGACCGCGCCACACAAACACAAGAGGGTAGGGGCCGGGTGGGCAATCCGCCTCAGAGGCGGATCCGGCTCCGGGCGTGACCACCACTCTCTCTCCACCCCCCCGTAGCGCCCCTGGTCTGGTCCCGCTGGCTGGAGCTGGACTGGACACCGGTGGAGCGGATTGCTCTGGCTCCGGTGTGGAGCAGCTGACCGGTGCCGGACCAGGCACCGGTGGAACAGGCACGGACCGTGCCGGACTGATGACGCGCACCACTGGCTTGGTGCGGGGAGCAGGAACGGGCCGGACCGGGCTGACGACGCGCACTACTGGCTTGGTGCGGGGAGCAGGAACGGGCCGGACCGGGCTGACGACGCGCACCACTGGCTTGGTGCGGGGAGCAGGTACGGGCCGGACCGGGCTGACGACGCGCACCACTGGCTTGGTGCTGGGAGCAGGAACGGGCCGGACCGGGCTGACGACGCGCACCACTGGCTTGGTGCTGGGAGCAGGTACGGGCCGGACCGGGCTGACGACGCGCACCACTGGCTTGGTGCTGGGAGCAGGAACGGGCCGGACCGGGCTGACGACGCGCACCACTGGCTTGGTGCGGGGAGCAGGAACGGGCCGGACCGGGCTGACAACGCGCACCACTGGCTTGGTGCGGGGAGCAGGAACAGGCCGGACCGGGCTGGCGACGCGCACCACAGGCTTAGTGCGGGGAGCAGGAACGGGCCTGACCGTACTGGGAACAAACACCACTGGCCTTGTGCGGGAATCAGGAACGGGCCGGACCGGACTGGTGACACACACCACTTGCTTGGTGCGAGGAGCGGGACTGGGTTTCCTCATAAACCTCCGCTCCCTCTGCTGCCTAACCAGTTCCTCTCGCCGTAAAGCATGAAGGAGGAGGTGTGATGGTGTGGGGGTGCTTTGCTGATGACACTGTCTGTGATTTATTTAGAATTCAAGGCACACTTAACCAGCATGGCTACCACAGCATTCTGCAGCGATACGCCATCCCATCTGGTTTGGGCTTAGTGGGACTATCATTTGTTTTTCAACAGGACAATGACCCAACACACCTCTAGGCTGTGTAGGGACTATTTGACCAAGAAGGAGAATGATGGAGTGCTGCATCTGATGACCTACCTGGCCTCCCCCGACCTCAACCAAATTGAGATGGTTTGGGATGAGTCGGACCGCAGAGTGAAGGAAAAGCAACCAACAAGTGCTCAGCAGATGTGGGAACTCCTTCAAGACTGTTGGTAAAGCATTCCAGGTGAAGCTGGTTGAGAGAATGCCAAGAGTGTGCAAAGCTGTCATCAAGGCAAAGGGTGTCTATTTGAAAAATCTAAAATCTAAAATATATTTTGATTTGTTTAACATTTCTACAATGTAGGAAATAGTACAAATAAAGAAAAACCCTTGAATGAATAGGTGTTCTAACACTTTTGACCAGTAGTGTATATGTTTTAGTTTCCATAATACGTTTCCTGTATGCACAAAGGCAGCAGTTCGTAAAGTAATAGAATACTCAAACATACTAGGGCCAGTTTGATTGAATCTGTCAAAGACAAGGATAGGGAGACAGAGTGAAATACTATTTGTGAGGTAGATGGTAGCTGATTGGGTTTAGAGGGAGAATGAGAGAGAATACATCCCAAAGTGTGTGTGTGTTTGTGTATGTGTGTGTGCTTTCGTGTGTCTGTCCCAGCGCTTAGACGGCCTTCCCTCTGTGTGCCTGCACAGATTTCACAGGCCCCTGATGGAATTCGGTAATGGCATTTTATATGGGCTGTCTGTCCATGGTGCATCCACTCCTATGGGTCCTACATAGTGTCCTGGGATGTCTCTGGGCTGGCCTTCCCATAGTGCCACTGGGCCAGGGCCAGTGGAGAAGGACTCCATGTTACGCCCCATCACTCACCATGAACTTGAGTATGTCTATGTGTAGTAGTAGTAGTGTAGCCTAGTAGTAGCGTGGTAGTGTATGTTTGAGTTGCTCTCGAGTTATTAGCTGGATCATATTCTGATGTTCTATACCAGCCGACCACACAAAATGGATTGATTTTGAGTGACTGATACGTTGATTTACTGATTTAGCATTTCACTCTTAAAATGCAAACACATAGTTGCCATGGATGCAAGTGAGCTGAAATGCCTTGTGGGATTTGTAGCTCGAACCTCGCTCAGTCAGATGAGTACTTTAGTAATTGCGATGACTGAACCACTTTGACAGTAATGACAAATTGTTTGCGAATTTCAGTGTAACTCAAACAATCTTCAAAGTAATGGGATTAGCTTGGGAAAGTTATTGAGAACCAGTTAGCATGAGGCAGCAGCCAGCCAGGCAGCGCTGCGTCACCCGTTGAAGTGAATAGTCTGTTCCACCCAGTCTTGTTCCAGCTTGTCTCACACTCTTTAATTCCCCTCTTTGTTGTGTCATAAGTCTTTCCCATCCATGGCCACAACACATTGACTTCAATGGTTGAATGTTTGGAAACAATGGGAACATTTGGGAATTTGGTAGACTGTGTGTGTAGGTCTGTGTGTGTGTGTCTTAGTGTTGTCAAGGTGGGTTTAGGAAGGCATGGCTGTTTGAAGTATAGTGTTGGTCGTCTGACAGGAAAGTGTTGTGCGGATAGTAGGTCTAGTTGGTGAGTAGGGGAGATGAGGGGTGGCCAAATGTTGACTCTGTTTCATCCAAAAAAGGTGCAAAATAAAAAGATAGCTTTATGAGGTGTTGTAAAGAAGAAAGGCTGCCTTGCATGTAGGCCGGTGAATGAGAGGGGCAATCCCTCACACATCACTCTTCCTATCGGGAGATTTCACATGCTGGATAAGAGGTAGCCTATCGAAAACCGTCATCATGTAACCATGAGGCCAAGAGGATATTAACCACAGGTAATTACTATTACCCCCCCACCACCCTCCACACAGAGAAGCCCTGCCTTCCTGTCTCTGTTAGGAGAAAAACATATGGGAGTAAATATTACATTAAAAAAACTGCATCAGATTCTGCACAGTTGTATTTATAGAGTTAGCATTTACAATAGTAAAACATTAAGGTTTTCTGAGTGCGATGATTGCACAAACTCCGCTGTAGGTGAACTTGCTGCGTTATGCTCCACATTATCTGTCAGTGTGTGTGTGTGTGTGTGTGTGTGTGTGTGTGTGTGTGTGTGTATGTATGTGTGTGTGTGTGTGTGTGTGTGTGTGTGTGTTTGCTGTATAGTCCACGGCTGTGTGTCGTTCTAGTAAGGGTGTGATAATTCCTCCCAGATTGTGTGTGCGCATGCACTGGTGTGCGCTCATGTGTTTGTGTGTGACCCCCTCTTGCCTGTGCGTTTGGTGTTGCTGTTTTTATGGAGCCATCTCCTGGACAGTAGCCTGGTTTTATCACAGCCTTTCCTTTCAAAGAGGCTCCCAATGACAGGAAGGACTCCTCCTCCCAACAGGGCAGGAAGGCTGGAGGGGTGAGAGAGGTACAGAGGGGGAGGGATATGGGACAGGCCAGGCAGGGGAAGGGAGGTGAGGGAGGAGGGGGGAGGAGGGGTGTTGCAGGTATTAAACTGAAGACAGCTGATGAAAGGAAGTGCCACTGTTCCACATTTGACTGAAATCTCATCCCCCCCCCCGCATGCACATGCACGCACGCACACAGCACACACACATACACAGTCAGCATATCCTCTCCTGGGGTTCAGGCCTATCTTTTTCCTATAGATTATCTGTACAAATAGGCCTATAACCATCCATTAACCTCTACGGGATCGGTGTCCCATATACGGGACAGTTGAGCTAACGTGCGCTAATGTGATTAGCATGACTGTTGTAAGTAACAGCAAACTTTCCAGGACATAGACATGTCTTATATGGGCAGAAAGCTTACATTATTGTTAATCTAACTGCACTGTCCAATTTACAGTAGCTATTACAGTGAATAAATACCATGCTATTATTTGAGGAGAGTGCACAACAACTGTCACGCCCTGACTCAGGGGACGCTTATATGTTGAGTCAGGGTGTGCATATTCCTTGTTGTGCTTGTTCTATGTATGAGGATCTAGTATGTCTAGTTCTATGTTGGCCGGTGTGGTTCCCAATCAGAGGCAGCTGTCGCTCGTTGTCTCTGATTGGGGACCATACTTAAGCAGCCTATTGGCACTGTCTAGTTGTGGGATCTTGTTCCTTGTAAGGTATGTTGTGTGTTCTACCTTGGACTTCACGTTTAGTTTTGGTTTGTTATTTTGTCATGGGTTTATAAATCAACATGTACGTATATCACGCTGCACCTTGGTCTGACCCGTCATTCAACGAACATGACAGAAGATCCCACCAAACGAGGACCAAGCAGCGTGCCCAGGAGGAGCGAATAGCCATGTCACAGGTGGCCGATTTGTGGTCATGGGAAGATATATTTGCGGGGAAAGGACCATGGGCTAAGGTAGATGCCCAGGCAGGAGAGGAGCAACGGCAACACGGAGGAGGCCGGTCGAGGAGGAAGCCCGAGAAGCAGCCCCAATAACATTTTTTGGGGGGGGGCACACAGGGGTGGTTGGCGGAGCCTAGGGTTAGAGCAGAGCCAACTCCCCGTACTCACGCGAAGAGGCGTATGACTGGGCAAGCTCCGTGTTATGCGGAGCTACGTACTGTGTCGCCAGTGCGCCGGCACAGTCCTGTACGTCCTGTGCTTGCACCACGCACGTGCTGTGCGAAGATGGGCATCCAGCCAGGACGGGGTGTGCCGGCTCAACGCTCCTGGTCTCCAGTATGCCTCCTCGGTCCCGCATATCCTGCGCCAGTTCTACGAACTGTATCGCCAGTGTGCGTGCACAGCCCAGTGCGTCCTGTGCCAGCGCCCCGCACGTGTAGTGCGAAAGTGGGCAGCCAGCCAGGACTGGTTGTGCCAGCTCTCCGCTCCAGACCTCCAGTCCGCCTTCACAGTCCGGTCCGGCCCGTTCCTACTCCTCGCACCAAGCCAGTGGTGCGCGTCGCGAGTCCGGCCCGGCCTGTTCCGGCTCCTCGCACCAAGCCAGTGGTGCGCGTCGCCAGCCCGGCCCGGCCTGTTCCTGCTCCTCGCACCAAGCCAGTGGTGCGCGTCGCCAGTCCGGCCCGGCCTGTTCCTGCTCCTCGCACCAAGCCAGTGGTGCACGTCGCCAGCCCGGACCGGCCTGTTCCTGCTCCTCGCACCAAGCCAGTGATGCGCGTCGCCAGTCCGGCCCGGCCTGTTCCTGCTCCTCGCACCAAGCCAGTGGTGCGCGTCGCCAGCCCGGCCCGGCCTGTTCCTGCTCCTCGCACCAAGCCAGTGGTGCGCGTCGCCAGCCCGGCCCGGCCTGTTCCTGCTCCTCGCACCAAGCCAGTGGTGCGCGTCGCCAGTCCGGCCCCGCCTGTTCCTGCTCCTCGCACCAAGCCAGTGGTGCGCGTCGCCAGTCCAGCCCGGCCCGTACCTGCTCCTCGCACCAAGCCAGTGGTGCGTGTCGCCAGTCCGGCCCGGCCCGTTCCTGCTCCTCGCAGCAAGCCAGTGGTGCGCGTCGCCAGTCTGGCCCGGCCCGTTCCTGCTCCTCGCACCAAGCCAGTGGTGCGCGTCACCAGTCCGGCCCTGCCTGCTCCTCGCACCAAGCCAGTGGTGCGCGTCGCCAGTCCGGCCCGTTCCTGCTCCTCGCACCAAGCCAGTGGTGCGCGTCGCCAGTCCGGCCCGGCCCGTTCCTGCTCCTCGCACCAAGCCAGTGGTGCGCGTCGCCAGTCCGGCCCGGCCCGTTCCTGCTCCTCGCACCAAGCCAGTGGTGCGCGTCGCCAGTCCAGCCCGTTCCTGCCCCTCGCACCAAGCCAGTGGTGCGTGTTCCTAGTCCGGCCCGGCCCGTGCCTGCTCCTCGCTCCACTCCGGAGCCAGAGCAGTCCGCTCCACCGTTGCCTGATCCAGCTCCGGTCAGCGGCTCCACTCCGGAGCCAAAGCAGTCCGCTCCACCGGTGCCTAGTCCGGCTCCGGTCAGTGGCTCCAGTCTAGACCATGACGTCAGCCCCTCTCCAGGTTCGGGGTCTCCCACACCAGGGTCCAGACAGGGCCTGGCGTATCGTGGGAGGAAGGAGAGGGGAAGCAACGTGCCGAGGTCTAGACCAGACCAGGGGCGCAACAGGGAGGCGGAGAATGAGAGGTCGTCACACCCCGAGCCGGATCCGCCTCCGAGGCGGAATGCCCACCCGGCCCCTACCCTGTTATGTTTATGTTGTGCGGTCGGAGTCCGCACCTTTGGGGGGGGGGGGGGTACTGTCACGCCCTGACTCAGGGGACGCTTATATGTTGAGTCAGGGTGTGTATATTCCTTGTTGTGCTTGTTCTATGTATGAGGATCTAGTATGTCTAGTTCTATGTTGGCCGGTGTGGTTCCCAATCAGAGGCAGCTGTCGCTCGTTGTCTCTGATTGGGGACCATACTTAAGCAGCCTATTGGCACTGTCTAGTTGTGGGATCTTGTTCCTTGTAAGGTATGTTGTGTGTTCTACCTTGGACTTCACGTTTCGTTTTGTTATTTTGTTGTAGGTTTATAAGTTAATAAACATGTACATATATCACGCTGTGCCTTGGTCTGACCCGTCATTCAACGAACGTGACAACAACAAAAAACTTATCACGGCAACTGGTTTGATACATTCACCTCTGAAGGTAAATAATGGACTTACATTCAGTAATCTTGCTCTGATTTGACATCCTAAGGGTCCCAGAGATAAAATGTAGTGTAGTTTTGTTTGATAAAATCAATTTTTATATTCAAATGTAGGAACTGGGTTCTACAGTTTGAACCCCTGCTGTCTCTGGCTGCACACCCACCCCGCCCGGCCATCTAGATGTGTGAAAGTTAGTGTATAAGCTAATGATCCATCATGTATGACATTCCTGGGAGTGTGTAAACTTACATTTTGTATTACCATATTTTTGTATGTTCTCTATAGTTATGTACTTGAAAATGTATCAGTTGTCCAATTCGGCACATTTGGGCAGACTTGATACAAAATAGTCCAGAGGTTAAATCATTTCATACATTCATACTGCCCACAGCATGCTTAGTTCAAAGAGTGAGTGGTAATGGTAGAGGATATGGGTTTGAAGACACACATGGGATTATTTTTCCTGTTTGTTGGTATGTACCGGATGGGATGACTGTTAATGTAGTCTCCATTTTCTCCCTCAGATCAGGCTTTAGGTGGTGTGTGTGTTGTTCTCCTGTTTCATACTGAAAGTCACACTGAAAACCGCTACACACATTTCAACATGTTCATACGTTGAAGCCAGCCCACACTCACACACATTCACAAACACACACACATTCCACAGCACACTCCAGAACATTTTGTGAGGCGAGAAGTTATGTAAAAGGTAAATTTGCTAACCAAATTAGTCTTTGGAGACCTGACAGCACCATAGATTGGAGCATGGCCAAGTTAAAACTGAGCGCTTACAGTCTTGTACTGAGATAATAATGTTGCCACAACAGAAATGTCTAGAAAATGCCATTGCATATTGATAATTAGAACTACATAACGTCATGGGACCTGACCAGGGGAAACTACTATTATGTATTTACCAGGTATAACTAGGACATGGAGTTTTTCCTGGTCAGATCACTTGGTCAGGAAAAACTACTGCCCCTAGAACTATTTTGTTGATCATCCAAAATGTGCCTCTTGTAAGGATTATTAGAGAAAAATACAAGGGAAGGCAAACGTAGACAAAATCACAAGGCCACTTTAAGAAATATAGACTTGTGTAGATACTCCATAGTAACATCCATCGGAGAGGGTCTGTCAGCCCCCTATTCTGGCTGAAGCCCAACCCTGAGACGTCTGAGCTGCTCCTCAGGCGATGTGTCACACTGTCGCCCACACAACCACGCTGAAGACAGCGAATGAATGGAGCCCTTCATCATGGCATACATTCAACACGCTGTGTGTGTGTGTGTGTGTGTGTGTGTGTGTGTGTGTGTCCCCACAAGAATAGTAAACAAAATGTTTTTGGACCAACTGGGGACATTTTGCCAGTACCCACAAGGAAAAAGCGTTAGGGTCAGGATTATAATTATATTAGGGTTAGAATTAGGGTTAGGGTTTAAAGGTTAGGGTTAGGGCTAGGGCTAGGGGTTAGGGCTGGGGTTAAGGTTAGGGTAAGGGTTAGGGGTTAAGGAAAATATTACTTTGAATGGGACTAAATGTGTCACCTCCCCACAAGGTTAGTGAAACAAGCAGTGGTGTAAAAAGTACTCAAAGTCATACTTGAGTAAAAGCAAAAATACCTTAATAGAAAATGACTCAAGTAAAAGTGAAAGTCACACAGTAAAATACTACTTGAGTAAAAGTCTAAAAGTATTTAGTTTTAAATATACTTAAGTATCAAAACTAAATGGAAAAGTATAAATAATTTAAACTTCCTTATATTAAGCAAACCAGATGGCACAATTTTATTGTTTTCTTTTTATTGACGGATAACCAGGGGCACACTCCAACACTCAGACATAAGTTAAAAACGAAGCATTTGTGTTTAGTGAGTCCGCCATATCAGAGGCAGTAGGGATGACCAGGGATGATCTCTTGATAAGTGTGTGAATTAGACCATTTTCCTGTCAAAATGTAACGAGTACTTTTGGGTGTTAGGGAAAATGTATGGAGTAAAAAGTACATTATTTTCTTTAGGAATGTAGTGAAGTAAAAGTAAAAGTTGCCAAAAATATCAATAGTAAAGTAAAGTACAGATACCCCAAAAAACTACTTAAGTAGTACTTTCAAGTATTTTTACTTAAGTACTTTACACCACAGGAAACAAGACTGTGTATGTGTGTGTGTGTGTGTGTGTGTGCGTGTGCTTGCGCGCGCATGCTGGATATTTCTCACCTCTAGATCCATGTGACATACAGTAACCTCCGTAAATTGGTTAGCATGTCTTGGGGGTATGATATTTGTGTGTCTGTAACTTTCTCACTCATCATTATTCACGATTCATTTAAGATTATCCATAATCATGGTAGCATCCACATTAATGTGGAAGTGTTTAGAAACATATTCTATTCTTATATACAATAAAAGTGACTCCAAAATGACACAATACATAATTTACCATTATTTTCTATTGGGCACAAAATAATCTGAAACATAACCAAAACAAACAGCAAATGCATCCAACAAATGTGTAGAGTAGTCATTGAATGCTATGAATATGAGACCAAATACTTTTAACTACTTTAATGCACATACAGTTGAAGTCGGAAGTTTACATACACCTTAGCCAAATACATTTAAACTCCGTTTTTCACAATTCCTGACATTTAATTCCCTGTCTTAGGTCAGTTAGGATCACCACTTTATTTTAAGTATGTGAAATGTCAGAATAATAGTAGAGAGAATGATTTATTTCAGCTTTTTATTTCTTTCATCACATTCCCAGTGGGTCAGAAGATTACATACACTCAATTAGTATTTGGTAGCATTGCCTTTAAATTGTTTAACTTGGGTCAAACGTTTCGGGTAGCCTTCCACAAGCTTCCCACAATAAGTTGGGTGAATATTGGCCCATTCCTCCTGACAGAGCTGGTGTAACTGAGTCAGGTTTGTAGGCCTCCTTGCTCGCACACGCTTTTTCAGTTCTGCCCACAAATGTTCTATAGGATTGAGGTCAGGGCTTTGTGATGGCCACTCCAATATCTTGACTTTGTTGTCCTTAAGCCCTTTTGCCACAACTTTGGAAGTATGCTTGGGGTCATTGTCCATTTGGAAGACCCATTTGCGACCAAGTTTTAACTTCCTGACTGATGTCTTGAGATGTTGCTTCAATATATCCACATAATTTTCCTTCCTCATGATGCCATCTATTTTGTGAAGTGTACCAGTCCCTCCTGCAGCAAAGCACCCCCACAGCATGATGCTGCCACCCCGTGTTTCATGGTTGGGATGGTGTTCTTCGGCTTGCAAGCGACCCCCTTTTTCCTCCAAACATAACGATGGTAATTTTGGCCAAACAGTTCTATTTTTGTTTCATCAGACCAGAGGACATTTCTCCAAAAAGTACGATCTTTGTCCTCATGTGCAGTTGCAAACCGTAGTCTGGCTTTTTTATGGCGGTTTTGGAGCAGTGGCTTCTTCCTTGCTGAGTGGCCTTTCAGGTTATGTCGATATAGGACTCGTTTTACTGTGGATATAGATACTTTTGTACCTGTTTCCTCCAGCATCTTCACAAGGTCCTTTGCTGTTGTTCTGGGATTGATTTGCACTTTTCGCACCAAAGTACGTTCATCTCTAGGAGACAGAACGCGTCTCCTTCCTGAGCGGTATGACAGCTGCGTGGTCCCATGGTGTTTATACTTGCGTACTATTGTTTGTACAGATGAACGTGGTACCTTCAGGCATTTGGAAATAGCTCCCAAGGATGAACCAGACTTGTGGAGGTCTACAATTTTTTTTTCAAATTATGTCAATTAGCCTATCAGAAGCTTCTAAAGCCATCACATCATTTTCTGGAATTTTCCAAGCTGTTTAAAGGCACAGTCAACTTAGTGCATGTAAACATCTGACCCACTGGAATTGTGATACAGTGAATTATAAGTGAAATAATCTGTCTGTAAACAATTGTTGGAAAAATTGCTTGTGTCATGCACAAAGTAGATGTCCTAACTGACTTGCCAAAACTATAGTTTGTTAACAAGAAATTTGTGGAGTGGTTGAAAAAACGAGTTTTAATGACTCCAACCTAAGTTGACTCCAACCCAACTTCCGACTTCAACTGTAAGTGAATTTACCCCAATACTTTTGATGTCCTAAAATGGGTGGACTATGTACAAAAAGTGCTGTAATTTGTAAACGGTTCACCCGATATGGATGAGAATACCCTCAAATTAAAGCTGATAGTCTGCACTTTAACCTTATAGTCATTGTTTGAGTTCAAATAATGTATTTTTAGTGTAGAGCCAAAATAAGAAAATTGCTTCACTGTCCCAATAATTATGGAGGGCACTGTATATGACATATGGATGAAAAGTTAGCGTAAGGTATTGACTAAAGCTTCTTCACGGGTCGGCTGTTGTAGCAACCAAACTGTACTAACTCAGGCTATAGTCTACATTGACAACAAAAAAAGTATTGTGTAACTGACAAGCCTGTATCTACAGTACATTGAGGTTAATTCAGAAATCTAATAAGTCAAGAAAACGCTTTTGACACCTTGTAGAGTCCATGCCCCAGCAAATTCAGTCAAAAACGGGGGACGACACCTTCAGAAGGGGGGACCTTCAGACGACTATTTTGAGGCCTGTGGGCATCCTAGAGCAAACCAACAACATGTACGTGTTCATGAGAGTCTCCCCTTTCCACAGAGTGGTGTCAAGTGTGTAGTCCAAACGGTTTCGGACGCTACAGACAGAAGTTGGCAGATCGGCTGTACTGACTTCAGACAAGTCCCAATTCGCTTGTGGGGGTCAAAGAGTAAACACCATCGTGTACGTGAGAATCTCATCGTTCCATAGAGGGGTCCTAATTTGTTTGGGCAAACCGTTTGGACACCAGACGATTTTGTGAGAAGACCAATTTTTGGGATGTCTTATGGTCTGACAAACACCACTCTAGTTCTGTCACCACCTTTCACCACAGATGCAGAAGTGCGACATCGGTGGATGCGGTGGATTGAGACGCACCCAATGCAGATATATCTAACTTAAACTGACAGATTTGTATGGGGATTTTTTATTATATGCTTTCTTGAGTTCTTAGATTAATTGTGACTATTTTGAGGAAGTGCAAAAAACTGGCTACAGAGTCTCAAGATGGGCAAACAGTACTATTGCCGCTTTTTTCTCATTTTTCAAGCAAAGGTATTTTAAGGGAGAATGCCAGCACACTCTTTCGGTTTGCCAAGCCAAACCGAAACATGCTGAAGGCTTAAGACAGACCTACAGTATGCTGCATGGTGGAAAGACAGAGAAAGAGGGGGATAGATAGGTGAGAGTGTGAAGCCCAACTGAAGGTAGAAAGTGGTGCATATGAGTGACGGGGGGGGGATTATGAAGACAAGGGGCCTTGTAGTGGGTTCACCTAACCCCCTCCCTCCCTCCTCTGCACACAGAAGCCATGGCGAGACAGAGGGGATTAGGGGTAAAATGATATATGCCATTTAGCAGACGCTTTTGAATGGTGATGGTTTTGCTGTACCTGCCCTCCACACCACCACCCTTCATCAGAGCCCAGGCTGACACACGGCACTCAGGACAAGGATTGTTATGCTAATTGAGTCCCAGGCTGATAAGGAAGGCCTCAGGTTTCACAGGAGCTTTTGTTTTCTAAACAGTGACGTGTCACGCTGAGGAGACATACTGGAGGAGAGCAGAGCGAGAGAATAAAGCCCTTTGAATGAGGGAGAGAGAGAGGGAGATAGGGGGAGAGCGAAAGAGAGCAAACTGCAGGTAACTAAAGCAACAAAGCGAAAAAGGTGGAAGGAGGTAGAGAGGGGTAGACAAGGAGGGAGAGAGGGAGGTGGGAGAGAGCGAGTGGGATAAAGTGAGATGGAGGGAGTGGTGCGGAGTGGATCTGGTCTAATTTATTTTCTGTTGGTAGTCTTATGGAGGTGTGCTGAGTGATGTAGTGACAAGCCATGAGGTGAGCCATGGGTGAAGAGCAAGAGAGAGAGAGACAGAGAGATGGAAAAGGAGAGAGGCATTTTTTCAGGCTTAGGCTCTCTTCCAGTCAGGTGGATCTGGGATTGTCCCTCTCTCTTTCTCTGCATTTCAGTGTACATAATATGTACATACAGTGCCTTCAGAAAGTATTCACACCCTTTGACTTCTTACACATTGTGATACAGCCTGAATCAAACATTTATTAAATTTATATTTTGTGTCACTGGCCTACACACAATAACCCATCATGTCAAAGTGGAATTATGTTTTTAGAAATGTTGACAAATTAATTAAAAATGAAAAACTGAAATGTCTTGAGTCAATAAGTATTCAACCCCTTTGTTATGGCAAGCGTAAATAAGTTCAGGAGTAAAAATGTGCTTAACACGTCACATAATAAGTTGCATGGACTCACTGTGTGCAATAAGTGTTTAACATGATTTCTGAATGACTACCTCATCTCTCTACCCCACACATACAATTATCTGTAAGGTCCCTCAGTCGAGCAGTGAATGTCAAACACAGATTCAACCACAAAGACCAGGGAGGTCGTCCTTCCTAACTCAGTCGCCGGAGAGGAAGGAAACCACTCAGGGATTTCACCATGAGGCCAATGGTGACTTTCAAATCAAATCAAATGTTATTTGTCTCATGCGCCGAATACAACAGGTGTAGACCTTACAGTGAAATGCTTACTTACAAGCCCTTAACCAACAATGCAGTTTTAAGAAAGAATCCCCCCCCCCCCCCCCAAATAAGAAATAAAAGTAACAAATAATTAAAGAGCAGCAGTAAGATAACAATAGTAAAATAACAATAGCGAGGCTATATACAGGGGGTACCGGCACAGAGTCAATGTGCGGTTTAAACTCTGTAACTTTAAAACAGTTACAGAGTTGAATGGCTGTGATAGGAGAAAACAGAGGATGGATAAACATTGTAGTTACTCCACAATACTAACCTAGTTGACAGCGTAAGAAGGACATTTCAAAACATGCATCCTGTTTGCAATAAGGCACTAAAGTAAAACTGCAAAAACTTTGTCTCTGACGAGTACATGAAGAGGCAGGACGCAGACGCAGGAATTAACAAGGTCAAGGTTTACTTAACAATGAGAAAGATAAATAACAAAGAGAGTAAACGACACAAAGCTTAACAATCACACACAAAATCATACAGAACAGTCCAGGGCTAAATAGGGGTGGTGATGAGATGAGGTGCGCTGGAGGTGATTAGGGGGCATTGGGTTTCCATTCCGGTGTTGCCGAGGTGGTGCGCTCAGACCGGTGGCTCAGTAGACCGGCGAATCAGAGCGCTGGAGGGGAGCAACGGGAGGAGACGTGACAATGTCCTGAATACAAGGTATTATGTTTGGGGCAAATCCAACACAACACTGAGTACCACTCTTCATATTTTTAAGCATGGTGGTAACTGCATCATGTTATGGGTATGCTTGTCATTGGCAAGGACTAGGTATTTTTTGGGATTCAAATAAACGGAATAGAGATAAGCACAGGCAAAATCCTAGAGGAAAACCTGGTTCAGTCTGCTTTCCAGCAGACACTGGAAGACAAATTCACCTTTCAGCAGGACAATAACCTAAAACACAAGGCCAAATATACACTGGAGTTGCTTACCTAGATGACATTGAATGTTCCTGAGTGGACTAGTTACAGTTTTGACTTAAATCTGCTTGAAAATCTATAGCAATGGCTGTCTAGCAATGATCAACAACCAACTTGAAGAATTGTAAAAATAATAATGTGCAAATATTGTACAATCCATGTGTACAAAGCTCTTAGACACTTACCCAGAAAGAGTCACAGCTGTAATTGCTGCCAAAGGTGATTCAAATATGTATTGACTCAGGGGTGTGAATACTTATGTAAATTAGATATATGTATTTTTTTTAAACATTATGGGGTTTTGTGTGTAGATGGGTGAGATTTTTTTAAATATTTAATCAATTTTGAATTCAGGCTGTAACACAACAACATGTGTAATAAGTCAAGGGGTATGAATATTTTCTGAAGGCACTGTAATTCACATTAGCATTGACAGTCTTACTACACAGCTAAAATGTACCTTTAACTGTCACAGTAGCAACTAGTCAGTAGGCTAAGCATGCAAACTATTCAACTAGCTATGCAAGCAACTTTTCATGCATCTACCATATTACACTCTTGATTAATGCAACAAAACCATATTACACTCTTGAAAAATGCAACAATACACAAGCATGTGCAGACTTTAAATGTTTTATTTTCTCATCCATACACTCATTAATTTAGCTGCAAGACAATAACACAGCCAAAGTGGCACAATAGCTAATGTTAGCTAGCAACATTTGCTTAATCAATTGCCAGAAGATACCGACCCTACAGCCGTTACTCTTGTTTACACGGAGCTGCACTGAGGTCGGAATGCAATCATGGTTACATTAAGACACCGTGGAGTCATATGGGTCTTAAAACGTACCTCAATGCAGGGATGGGATATGCCACTGTACTCCAAATCCACACTGCTCCATCCAGAAGATTGAAATACTGATAGTTTTCTGGGAAAACTGCCCTTTTCGTCCTCATGCTAGCTATCAGTAGCCACAGCAGCCATTATGAAATGGCACATTGCATTGAACTACAAAGGAGCTGATTGGCAGACACGACCATTCCAAAATGGCTGGGGTGGCTACTGATAACTAGGGCAGTTATTTGTAAAAACAAGCATTATTTTTATCTTCAATGGAGCAGTGTGGATAAAGGTACAATTTGGAGTACAGTGGCATATCCCATCCCTGCATTGAGGTACGTTTTGTAACCATGTCTTAATGTAACTGTCACGCACTTTGAGAGACGGGTCGGACCAAGGTGCAGCGTGAAAAGCGTACATGTTTATTATATAGAATAAACATACAAAACCACGTGACGTGAAAGTCCTATGGGCTATACAACAACCAGCCTACACGGAACAAGATCCCACAAACAAGGACTGCAACCAGGCTACTTAAGTATGATCCCCAATCAGAGACAACGAGCGACAGCTGCCTCTGATTGGGAATCATACCCGGTCAAACATAGAAGTATAACAACTAGAATCTAAACATAGATATACAACAACCTAGAACTAAACATGCACGCCCTGACCAAACTAACTAGAGTTCTATAGGTCAGGGCGTGACAGTACCCCCCCCCCCCCCCCCCCCCTCCCCCCCTCCCAAAGGTGCGGACTCCGGCTGCACAAACCTGACTTAACAGGGGAGGGTCCGGGTGGGCTTCCAGCCTCGGTGGCGGCTCCGGGCGTGACGTCTTCTCTTTTACTGCCTCCATGTTGCACCCCTGAACCGGTCTGGACCTCAATGCGGAGCTTCCCCTCTCAGTCCTCCCAAAATGCACCGATCCCTGTCTGGACCCTGGTGTGAGAGACCCCGAACCTGGAGAGGGGCTGACGTCTGGACCCGGAGTGGAGCCGCTGACCGGAGCTGAACCGGATCCCGGTGGAGCGGACTACTCTGGCTCCGGAGTGGAGCCGCTGACCGGAGCTGGACTAGGCACCGGTGGAGCGGACTACTCTGACTCCGGAGTGGAGTCGCTGACCCGAGCTGGACTGGGCACCGGTGGAGCAGACCGCTCTAGCTCCGGAGTGGAGCTGCTGACCGGAGCTGGACTGGGCACCGGTGGAACGGGCACGGGCCATGCCGGACTGGGAACACGCACCACTGGCTTGGTGCGAGGAGCAGGGACGGGCCATACTGGACTGGGAACACGCGCCACTGGCTTAGTGCGAGGAGCAGGGAGGGGCCGTACTGGACTGGGAACACGCACCACTGGCTTGGTGCAGGGAGCAGGTACGGGCCGTACCGGACTGGGAACACGCACCACTAGCTTGGTGCGAGACACAGGCACAAGGTGTACCGGACTGGGAACTGTCGTTAGAGATCTCCGACTGTACCAGTCTTTTACTCTCCGCGCCCAGTCCTCCTCCAGTGAGGACTCCTCCTTGAGCCCCCCCGAGTGCAGTGGTTGGGGCTCTTCTCTCTCGATCCCCTTTAGCCCCCCCCCCCCCCCCCCCCCCCCCTATTTTCTTGGGGCTGCCTCTCGGGCTTCCTCCTCGGCCGGCGGTGTCACCGTTGCTCCTCTCCTACCCGGGCTTCCTCTGTCTGTTCCCAAGGACGGCAATCCAACCCAGCCTGGATCTCCTCCCATGTCCAAGATCCCTTACCATCCAGGATCTCCTCCCATGTCCAGGATATCTGCTCCTGGCCATGCTACTTGGTCCTCGTTTGGTGGGATCTTCTGTCACGCACGTTGAGAGACGGGTCGGACCAAGGTGCAGCGTGAAAAGCATACATGTTTATTATATAGAATATACATACAAAACAACGTGACATGAAAGTCCTATGGGCTATACAACAACCAGCCTACACGGAACAAGATCCCACAAACAAGGACTGCAACCAGGCTACTTAAGTATGATCCCCAATCAGAGACAACGAGCGACAGCTGCCTCTGATTGGGAATCATACCCGGCCAAACATAGAAGTATAACAACTAGAATCTAAACATAGATATACAACAACCTAGAACTAAACATGCACGCCCTGACCAAACTAACTAGAGTTCTATAGGTCAGGGCGTGACAGTAACGATGATTGCGTTCCGACCTCGCAATGTTCTGAGATTCCCTTTTAGCTACAGCATCAATTTCAGAGTAACCGGCTTTTACTGCAATCTCTGGTAAAACCTCAATAAAAAAATATAAGAAAAATGCCTAAACATTTCAGCTGTTAAAAAATATTGCTCTGCTATTACAATTTTTACTGTAGGAGTGTTGGGCTCAACGAGACAATTATGTTTACACTGCCCTGCTTGGAGGGAGCCCACTGGGCACAGACGTCAATTCAACGTCTATTCCACATTGGTTCAACGTGATTTCATTGAAATGACGTGGAAACAACGTTGATTCAACCAGTGTGTGCCCAGTGGGGGGCAACTGTCGGGTGAGCTTTCGAGACATGACATGTTTACATTACAGTAAAAGGTATTCTCATTATTATTTTTGATACTGCTCGACAATCTCTTTCAACTCTCGTCAAGATAAAAAGGGCCTCAGCCACTACTAAAGCTCTGCTACCAGACCCGAGCCTGATGGGCCCCGACATTATACATCGGGTTAGGGCCGGGTAGGGCCTGTTTTTTCATCAATAACTAGTGTATGGGTAAGGCTTGGGGGTCACTAAATTGATCATTAACATTTTGAAGCTGAGCCATTTGCTTTTGCTCTGCTGCGCAATACATATCATGGTGTCAGAAGTGCTTCAACCTCATCAAATATAAGACCAGAACATTGTCCGAGTCCACAGGAGAGATTATTTTACCAAAAATAATAATGTTACTTGAGAGTTTTGTCGGAATGACCAAAAGTAGCTAGTTTACAGCTAGCTGCTCTCTGTCCCGTCATTGAGCAGAACTGCAAGCAGAGGCGTTACAATGGATACTTACACAAGGAGAGCCATGCACATAGTGCATGCAGTGCAGGGAGCGAGTGACAGAAGAGCAGCTAATGGCTCTAGAAGCCAAAACAGCCAAATACTCAATTTAAACATGAATCAATTCTCAATTAAGGTACGGTTCTAGAAACATAAATCCCTCTACTTTCACATCACATCAAAATAATTTCACAAACGCAAAATACACACTTACTGTACACTTTTTTTACCGGTTTTAACAAAGTTGCAGCCGACAGTATTTTTCAGTGACAACACGTTTGTGGCGTCTGTCTTCCATTTACACACAGGTGTTTGGAGAAGCATATAGCTAATTAGCACAGGTAAACCACTCTGTCTTCCGTCTGTTTTCCGTAAACATGCGCTGTAACATGGAAATATGGCCATATGGGAACCCTAACCCTATAAAGGTGTGTTTAAATGTAACCTTTTTTAATTATTATTATTTCTCGCCGATATGAAAGATAAGGTCCTTATGCTTCCAAAACCGTACCGCAAGCGATGCGTGTTAATGTTCAGACCGAGCGTCGTGGCTCTTAACAAAACTCCCCACTAAAGAAGACGCCTTCATCCAATGACTCTTATGTGTAATGTCATGGATCTGAGAGTAATGATAAAGGCTATTGGTAGCTAGTACTAATGGTATTGGTAGTGGTTGTAGTAGACTGTAAAAAAAAATTGGAAACACTTATCTTCCTCTATCTTTTTTACTACAAAGCATAGAAACGCGCCATTTTCACATATGTTGATGTTGGGGTGGTGCTCGAGATGATGAATATGAAATATTCATGAAACACACCAATAATCCCACTGCCAATAGACTGCCGATAGGTACTTTTCACAGTGGGAGGCCGTTCCTTCTCTTGCTAGAACAAAAGTGATACTTGCTACGTGCCGACCCGGTAGCGACGAACCTATCGTTTCTATTTGAAGAATCGCAATGCTTGTCAGTGGACAACAACTTGACTTTGAGACAATCAGAGAGCACGAACCCTGACTTGGGGGAGCCAACAGGGAAAAAGAGGGCATTTTCTCCAAACATCCACAGATGACCCAGTCATACTTCATATGCAATGTAGGCTATGGGATGGTAGCTAGCTAAGTGCACAGACCCAATGCACACAACACTAAATACTTCCTCCAAGCTAGCTAACCACTGTAGCTAGTATTGACATTATAATTAAATCACAATGGATTAGCTTGTTTCCATGAAACAGCTGCCTGTGTTTGCTGCCGAGTTAGTGCAGTGTCCTTAGCTAGCTAGCTATGAATATGCTAAAGTTAGCTAGCTAGCTAAACATTTGTCAATGTGCTGGCACTGGTAGTATGGGATTATGGAGAGTGAATTAAATTGTTTCTTCGTCATCTTGCTAGGTAATTATAATTACTGTGGCCATCTGTCTAGTATCAACAAGGGCTTTCTACAAAATAGCAACATTAGCGCAGCTAGTTTGGAATGTAGACCATAAGCAACACACACGGACATGCATTGCCAAACAACGCTATTGCCACCTTCTGGTTTGGAGTATTTTAACAAGGCTGAGCGGCTGATGACTTCCAAGGTCTTTGCTGTGTGAACACAAAAGAGATTGACTGCCGACACTCTGTTCAGAGGTGCTAAATACTGTTGGCAGGCAAACATTTACATTACATTTACATTTACATCATTTAGCAGACGCTCTTATCCAGAGCGACTTACGTTTGACAATCCTATCGGAGTGTCTAAGCTTTTAGGCTTTTGGTAGCTAGTACTTCTGTTATTGGTAGTGGGAGTAGTAGACTGTTAGGGCTCAGACACAGAATTAGCGTTTGCTGGCTGACAGTACTTAGCACCTCTGAACGTCGTTTTACATGTAGAATTGTGTGAAAATGTTTGGCAGTCAGACGTCTACAGCGGGTGGTCTCTAAAACACGGCGCGCTGAACAATTGGCAGACAAACGCTAGATCCACATTCAGTGCGATGTGTGCGAACCTTAAGGCTATTGGTAGTTAGTACTAATGGTATTGGTAGTCAAGGTCAAAGCTAAAGGGTCAGAGTTTTATTCCACCTCTCTAGCCACTGGGAGCCCTCTGTCCTCTAACCCATATCTTTCCCCCTCTTCTTTTATTAGATTATTCCTTTATGCCCTTTTCTCCTCTTTTTGAAGTCTTGCCACTCTTGTTAAACGCAGGCCCCAGTGTGAGAGAGGGGGCTGGAGGGGGATCGAGGAGGAGGGGTGTGGGTGTGTAGAGGTCGACATTTGGGCCAGCGCAGTTCTATCCATTCAAGGTGGCAGCTAGGACGGGGGCTGTGCGTGGCTTTGGATTATTGACCCCTCCATTTTTTGTAAAATAAAAAAAATAAGGGGCAGGGTTGCGAGAGTCCAGCTGGTGGTGTGAATGGCTGTCCAAGGTGACTGGATCCCAATAAAGAGGCGGTCAGCCTGGCCGGGGGCCTCCTTCCCAGCCCAGACACAGCCTTTATAGGCTGGCTTACGAGCCTGGGCCTCTATTAAACCCTGTCCAGCCTGCGCTGAGGAATTTAGGGCCAGGAAACAAGAGAAAAACAGGGGGGTTCGGGATGGGCACGGGGGAGGTGAATTGGGGTGACTGAAGGTGAAAGTTCAAAGGCATGTTAGAGGGGATTGGTTTGGGGGCTTGGTCGGTGAATGTGGCTAAATGTATGGGTATATGAGCTTTTTTTACCATTTATAAATGTGTGTGTGTATATCTATGCAAATGTATGCTGATGTGTTTTGTGTGTGAAGTCAGGGTAAACACAGTGCATTTGAAGCTATATTTAGTAGCTAGATGGTGCATAGACCTGAAATGTTCAGTGGTGAAAAAGGTGAATAGAAATAGAGTTTTTCCAGACATGGACAAAGGTTTCCCTCATCTGGGCTCCATCAGTGTCGCGTTGTCTCTTTGTGCGAAAATGTTTGTCAGTGTGTGTGTGTGTGTGTATATTACGTTGTTTATTTTGCTGGTAGCAGTTGAATGACTTTGCCTGTGGCACAGCAAATGGTGTTATATTGTGTTCCATTTTCCCCCTGCGAGACAGAAGGGAGGGACAGAGGGAGACAGCAGAGTCTCATAAACACCTTCAGTCTGTTTGTTCAAATGTGGCTAGAGGTATACAAGCATGTCGGGTTGGGCAGGCATTCAAATAAAAAAGACACCCACACACCATTTAGCAGTCAGTTAGAGGTATGCTCCACCCCCACTACCCAGTAGTGGAGACGCCAATCAAATCTAATCTGCCAATCAGCATTTTATCAGTGTAGCCATCTGGCCATCAGCTAATTGTGTCTCTTTCCCTCTTTTGTCAATCAGTGCTGCCCCCCTGGTAGAGCTGAAGGGTTAGTGGGGGGTTGGGCTTTTTTATTTTATTTTATTTTTTTGTCATTTAGCAGACGCTCTTATCCAGAGCCATTTACAGGAGCAATTAGGATTAAGTGCCTTGCTCAAGGGCACATCAACAGATTTTTCACCTAGTCGGCTCGGGGATTAGAACCAGCGACCTTTCGGTTACTGGCACAAGGCTCTTACCCACTAAGCTACCTGCCGCCCTGGCTTGTATTGTACCTTCAAAGATATTTGTGGGCTTCAGAAAGAAAGAAATGTGTTCATGTTCATCCTCTGACATGCAGTGTACCTATTAGCTGCAATACGGAAATGTGCAGTAAGATAACGTCTGTCTTTTTTGTCCCCCTTCTTTCTTTCTTTCTTTCTTTCTTTCTTTCTTTCTTTCTTTCTTTCTTTCTTTCTTTCTTTCTTTCTTTCTTTCTTTCTTTCTTCTCTCTCTCTCTCTCTCTCTCTCTCTCTCTCTCTCTCGCTCTTTCTCTCTCTGAGCAGCAGTGGAGACCCAGAGCACCAGCTCTGAGGAGATGGTGCCCAGTTCACCCTCTCCGCCCCCTCCTCCCCGCATCTACAAGCCCTGTTTCGTGTGCCAGGACAAGTCCTCTGGCTACCACTACGGGGTCAGCTCCTGTGAGGGTTGCAAGGTGAGACACATCAAAACAGAGAGACACAATATACCCAGTCATAAGTGCCTTCAGAAAGTATTAATAGTATTCATACCCCTCCACATTTTGATGTGTTACAGTCTGAATACAAAATTGTTTTTTTTCCCCCTCAACCATCTTCACACACTACCCCATAATGACAAAGTTAAAACATGTTTTTAGAAATGTTTGCAAATTTATTGAAAATGAAATGCAGAAATGTCTAATTTACATAAGTATTCACACCCCTTTGCTATGACACTCCAAATTGAGCTCAGGTGCATCCAATTTCCTTTGATCATCCTTGAGATGTCGCGACAACTTGATTGGAGCCCACCTGTGGCCAATTTAATTGTTTGGACATGATTTAGAAAGAAACACACCTGTCTATATAAGGTCCCACAGTTGACAGTGCATGTCAGAGAAGCAGACGAACAGGAGTGCCGTTGGCGAGATGAGGAAGAGCTAGCTGAGGTTGCAGGGGAATGGGTTCAAGAAGATGGCGGACAAGGGAAAAAGGAAGAAACTGGGACATATTATGAATAAATATGGAGTGAGGGATGGTACAAACCTTCTGGAAGACTTGGTGAAGGAGAAGATGGCGGACAAGGGAAACAGAAGAAAAGTGAAATATGTCCTGAGTGAATATGTAATGGAGGACTGCACAGAACTTCTGGAAGAACTAGAGAAGGAAATTGAACATGACAAGAGTGAGGGTGAATCAATTGTGGTGGCAGGTTTAGTGATGACAGCCGAGAATGAGTTGTGTAGAGGGAAGTGGGGTGATAAGGAAGGTTGGCGAATCTGGTCCAGTGGGAGTGAGATTGATGGAGAGAGTGGATCCTTGCAGTTTGGCTGATGAGTGGAAGACAGTGATAAGGGAAAATGGAACAAAAAGGGCTAAAGTTGTTAATGAGTATAGGTTTTTGGTTGGAGTAAGGTTCACTAACAATTATGCTTTTTTGGGAGATCCGTTTGAAGTATCAAGGATGGTAAGGGATGCATTGGGAAAGGTGAAGTCGATCAGAGTGACCAGAAGTGGTTTTGTTTTGATTTCTTGTGTATCGAAAGAGCGGAAGGAAAAAACATTAAGGATCAACAAACTATCGACTTATGAAGTGGAGAGTTTTTATTTTTGTAGCAGAGCACCATTAAAAGGTGTCATCTCTGGCGTCACGTTGGATGTGGAGGCCTCGTGGTTTACGAGGAGCATACCAGGAGTAGTTGGAGCACGCTGGCTAAACCGTGTAGTGGATGGGGAAAAAGAAGAAAGCCTGTCGGTATTATTGATGTTTGACGAAGAGCATCTCCCTTCACATGTGAAGATGGGATATGTTAGATATGCAGTGAGAGCTTTTGTGTCGAAGCTGTTGTTTTGGCAGAATTGCAAAAGGTATGGACATGTATCAAGTGTGTGCCGAAGGAATGTTGTTGAAGAATCTGAGGGTGTACGATGTTGTAATTGTGATGCAACCACGTTCCCAATTCCCCGGAGTGCCCGGTTAGGGTAAAGGAGTACGAAGTGGCAAGGGTCAGATCTATACAGCAGGTCTCCTACACAGAGGCACGTGAAATAGTTGAAGGAGCGAGGGGAGATGAAGATATGGCGGTGGATGCTCCGCAGACTGTGGAGATTCAGAGTGTTGTTCAACAGTTGAGGGAAACTGATATGCTGATTGTGGAGTGTATGGTGTTTATCATGGATGTGATTAAAGCATTTCACCAATCTAGGCATATGGGAGAGTGGCCAGACAGATGTCATTCTTGAGAAAAAGGTACATGACAGCACGCCTGGCGTTAGCAAAAAGGCAACTAAAAGACTCTGAAGAGCATAAGGCAAAAGATTCTGTGGTCAGATGAGACCAAAATGGAACTCTTTGTCCTGAATACAAAGTGCTATGTCTGGAGAAAACCAGGCTCATCACCCGTCTAACACCATCCCTACCGTGAAGCACGGTGGCGGCAGCATCATGCTATGGGGATGCTTTTCAGCGGCAAGGACTGGGAGACCGGTAAGGATGGAAGGAACAATGAATGGAGTCAAATACATGCAAATTCTTGATGAGAACCTGCTTCAGAGTGCAAACGACCTTAGACTGGGGTGAAGATTTACATTCCAACAAGACAATGACCCAAAGATGTGCAAAGCTGATACAGACATACCCAAGACGACTCAAAGCTGTAATCACCTCTAACGGTGCTTCTACAAAGCATTGACTCAGTGGTGTAAATAGTTGTGTAAGTGAGATATTTCTGTATTTCATTTTCAATAAATTTGCTAAAATTTCTAAAACATGTTTTCACTTTGTCATTTAGGGTTATTGTGTGTAGAGATGGGTGAGGGGAAAAATCTATGTAATCCATTTTGAATTCCGGGTGTAACACAACAAAATGTGGAATAAGTCAAGGGGTATGAATGAAAGGATGTATAACACAAGCAAATACATGACATATACAGAAAATGCATACACAAACAAACAAGCCAGAAAGTCAGACCGGGGCAAACAGACAGTCTTCCATATTTGTTTCCATGCAGTTTTATCCCTATTCCGAGAGGTTCCACGATGTAAAGACGCCTGTGCTGCCCTCTGGTGGAATCTTTATCTAAGAATAAGGGCATGGGCTGAAATAACCTCCTGTGGCTATGGAGTGAGACATATTCCATCTATGCTCCAGACATATGGCCTTGTGACCATTAAGAATGTTTTAATGCCTGATTTCTCTCTCTTTTACTCTCTCTTGGTCTGTCGGTTTCTCTCTGTCTCTCCCTCCCTCGGTCTCTCTCTCTCTCTCTCTCTCTCTCTCTCTCTCTCTCTCTCTCTCTCTCTCTCTCAGGGATTCTTCCGGCGCAGTATTCAAAAGAACATGGTGTATACCTGCCACCGAGACAAGAACTGTCAGATCAACAAGGTGACCCGTAACCGCTGTCAGTACTGCCGGCTGCAGAAGTGCTTTGAGGTCGGCATGTCCAAAGAAGGTGAGTGCCATTTTTGTCCAGTTTGCCTGCTGGGTATGTTGTGCTCAAATGTAAAGGTGTGAGGAGATCAGAGACTGTTTGAATACAGAGAGGTTGTGAGAGTGATTGGGTGGCAAATCATTTGTAAAGGGATCTCACTACAGTTTATGTCTGTAAGTGTGTGTATTGGGATAGCTATGGATTACACTGAAATCACAATATGGCCCCTCTATAAGTGGAAATTCTGAGAGGAAGGAACGAGTGGTAAGGGGTGAGTGGGAAGGGGTGAAGCATGAGGGATGTGTTTCTCTGTCATTCGTCAACGAAAGACAACAACAAACACCACCAATCCACCACTTTCCCTTACTCTCTCACTTATCCTCGCTCCCTCTTTTTCTCCACCATGCAGCGGTGCGTAACGACCGGAACAAGAAGAAGAAAGATGTGAAGGAGGAGGTGGTATTGCTGGAGAGCTACGAGCTCAGTGGAGAACTGGAGGAGCTAGTCAACAAAGTCAGCAAGGCCCACAAAGACACCTTTCCCTCACTCGTCCAGCTGGGCAAATACACGACAGTAAGTCAAACACACACACACACACATACACACACATACACACACACACACCTCAGCCCTCTCTCTCCTGTTCCAGAACTCCAGTTCAGACCACCGTGTACAGTTGGACCTGGGGCTGTGGGATAAGTTCAGTGAACTCTCCACCAAGTGCATCATCAAGATAGTGGAGTTTGCCAAGCGCCTGCCAGGCTTCACCACCCTCACAATTGCTGACCAGATCACTCTCCTCAAATCAGCCTGTCTGGACATACTGGTACCTAAACACCTCTCTCCCTCCACCTACACTCTGTCTGTACTCCTCTCTGCCTCACTGCTCTCTCCCTCCACCTTCACTCTTCTCTCCCTCACTACAACCTATCTACTCATCTCTCTCCCTCACAATGCTCTATCCATACTCCTCTTTCCCTTAACACACTATCCACATGTCACTGTCCTCAATCCTTTGTCACTCCCTACACTTTACAATCCCCCTCTTCCTCACCCTCCCTTTTCATCATCCTTGTTGTCATTATTCCCCTAACCTCTCCATCCTCTCCTCTCCTCCCCTCCTCTCAGATGCTGAGGATCTGCACTCGCTACACTCCGGAGCAGGACACAATGACCTTCTCCGACGGGCTGACCCTGAACCGGACCCAGATGCACAACGCAGGCTTCGGCCCTCTCACAGAACTGGTGTTTGCCTTCGCTGGCCAGCTGCTGCCTCTGGAGATGGACGACACAGAGACCGGCCTGCTCAGCGCCATCTGCCTGATCTGCGGAGGTACTGCTGTTAGTGTGTGTGTGTGTGTGTCTGTGTACACGCACAGGTGTGTCTCAATCAGGGCTCTAAAGTGCAACCATTTTGGTGGCATATGCTCCTAACCATTTTGCTGTGAGACCTGGAATTTTTATTTGGGAGAACCGATGCATCTAGATAATTGTTGTAAGGATTAGGCTTCGCTCTACCGTTGTTTCTGAGTGCCCTAGAGAAAAATGCGAGCGCATATTCGTTAGCATCATGGTTGTACCATTACTACAGCGAAAACAGCTTGTTTCTTCGCATTTTACATTCATTTGTTTACACTTTGTTCAGCCCTGTTACCTCATTAGCTAGCTAGCTGGCTAGCTAACAACCTGGTAACTTTACTAATAGGCTATATCCGAACATTTGTGGGCACAGAAATAAAGTTACATGGATAGCTTCTTCAGGAGATCAGTGATCATAGCAATGAATGAATGACTAATCTCTTGCATGTTGCCACTCACAAACAATGTTCTAAAAGAGACAGTGTACAATTTCACTTTTACACAATTTAGAAACCTAATATTCTACAAACAACTTTGTAATTTCAATGACAGGTATTTGTATCAACATTTTAGCGTTTTATAATACACATTTATTTACAGGGTTACATATTAGTTTCTAGAGAACAATATCAGAAGTAGCTAGAACACAGTACATACAGGCCAAATATAGGCTATATCTCAATCGGTGCTCCTAAATGTTATGTTGTGCTCCAAACTTTTATAAGTTGGGAGCACCAGTGCTACCAATTACTAATTTGAATTTAGAGCCCTGGCTCAATATACTAAGTACAATACACTTAGCAGACTCTTGCCTCTTCTCTTTGTGTTCCTGTCTTTTCTTTCCTTCTCCCTGACCCTATGTCATTGGCTGCTAACTCTTTCATACCCATCATTGGCTCTCCCCCTTCCTGACCCTGTGTGATTGGCTCTCTCCCTCAGACCGTATGGACCTGGAGGAGCCCCAGAAGGTGGACAAGCTACAGGAGCCCCTCCTGGAGGCCCTGAAGATCTACGCCCGCCGCAGACGCCCCAACAAGCCCCACATGTTCCCCCGCATGCTGATGAAGGTCACTGACCTCAGGGGCATCAGCACCAAGGGTCAGTACAGATAAGGATGTAGTACACAGGACAGAGATATGGCACAGCCTAGATCTCTATTCATAACACAGTTATACTAACACAATACTGACACATAGATTAATATGCATGTATGGTAGAGCCTCAGACTCCTACATTCAATCAGTATTGATAGAGGCATAGCGCCCAAAATAATTAACTATTAATAACTGATTGTAAGTCACTCCAGATAAGTCTGCTAAATGGCTAAACTGTCAATGTGAATGTAAACTCATGTTTATGCGTGGATCTCTCTGGGTACTCTAGGTGCTGAGAGAGCCATCACTCTGAAGATGGAGATCCCAGGCCCCATGCCTCCTCTGATCAGGGAGATGTTGGAGAACCCTGAGGCCTTTGAGGACAGCAGCGACTCTGGGGACAGCGCCTCCGCCCCCCCTGCCATCCAGGCCATCAAGAAAGAGAGGGAGGAGGAAAAGAGCCTGGAGGAGGAAGATGAGGATGAGGAGGACGAGTGGGGGGACGAGGAAAGGGAGAGAGGGGCGGACAGCGATGGGGAGCCCTGGGGGGAGGCTGCAGCGGCAGAAGCAGGGTCCCAGAAAGGGGCGACTGGGAGATCCCAGTAAGAGAGACATAGTGATGCACTCTGACCCATTCACGTAACCTCCTGCTCCACCACCCTCAGACAGACCAACACACCCTGTCCTATCACACCAAGTCATCTCCCTACATGAGCAGCCCATCCTATAACAAGGGTCTACTCCAAGACCTAGCACTCACCTCTGCTGTTACACCTGTTAAACTACCCCCCACCCATCTCTCCAAGCACACGCACACATACATTTACACATATACACATATACACATACATACTGTATACCCATAAGAATTCCTCCTTTGCTCTAGATAGACAGTGAAGTAAAGGCTCTATGTAGTGAACCTACTCTGACACTCCAGGGTGAAACTGGCCCTCTCTACAGGAACAGGTGGAACATGTAGTTAGGGAAAAAAGAGGAGAGAGAGAAAAACTAAATCTCACATACTTGGGACAAGGGCCACGAGAGATCACTTTGCCAACCATAAGACTGACCGACCCAATGTTACTTTACAATGCTGTCTCCACACAAAGAGAAACACAGGAGATGCTAAACTGAGTGGCAGCAGCTTGGAGTGGTGGACTATATGAAATGCACTCACCCACTTTCCTTAAGGGCTACTCTGAGTGCAAGAGCAATGATGAAAACGACAACTGCAACAACCAAACTCTTAACGTGAAAACCATTCGCCACAAATGCCTTTGAGAATTGTATTTTTCTTTTCTTTTCATTGACATTTCTTTTCATAAATGTTTTTCTATTGTATGATTTTCCCCAAAAAAAACATTCATATTTGATCATATATTCATTTGTATTACTATGCATTTTTCTCTGTTATTGTTGTCTCGTTTGTGCTTCAGTCATGCTCATGTTTGACGAGCAATCTCAAACTAGCGATAGATTTTCAGTTTGTAAGTTGGCAACTCAACTCACAAACTGGCAACTCTCTTCTGATCGTTACATCAGCTGTGCTTCACTCATTGGGACAGAGCTTACTATAGATCTCTGCTCGATGAGACAAACAAAAACAACAAGGATTTGACCAATGGACTACGGCACATTGTAAGCTATAGTTGTGAGCTACACATATACTTAATAAACACACAAACACACAAACACACTCCTTTAACATCTATAAATGTGTGCAGGGTCAATTTTATGCAATTTAATGCCAATGCTTTGACTCAGGGTGACTCTAGAGATGGACCGAATCTCACCAGTGTGAATGTTCAAGAAAATCACAACAAGGAAGTGTGGGGTAGCATCGACGGTCCGCCACTCTCCCTGTTCTCTTCATCAACAAGCCATTCAACAGGGATCTGAATGTGAAAGAGAACTCTTTTAGTTCTCGTTGGAGAACCTCCTTTGTTCTCAATGAAATGCCTGGCAGTCTACCATGGGGATCAGATATCTGGGTGGGCAGAATCCAGAACATAGCTGAGTATCTGTGATTTTGAAAGTAGGTGTCTGCTCCCAGCCATAGCCGCGGGAAGTAGGGGTGCTGAGGGTGCTGCCCCACCCCCAAACATCTTCCCAAGACATGGCTCAGGTGGTGTGTTGATAATAGTACAGCATAATAAGCCATAATGAGCAGTGTTATGAGTCAGAATACATGGACTGGATCACTAACACAGGACCAGTTTAGTCTTAGGTCCATTCATTCAATAGAACAACTCATGTATAAGTCATAGTTACACATATCATTGATGTCAATGAAGTCTCACCCTCATACAGTGATGATCTCGTAGATGAATAAGCAATATTGGAATTATATGCAAAGCCATGAATCAGGAAATGAATGTGTCTGGGGTATGTAGATGTATTTGTGTGTCGGTGTGTGTGTGCACGCACGTGTGTCTCTCTTTGTGTGTTTCTCGCTACTTGTATAGCGTAATTGAGTGTTTTATGCTCGTTCTACCATAGAATAAATGAGATAGTATTTTGGAAACTGTCTACATACATAAACTGGGTTCTAGGCGTTTTAGTCCATAGTGCTGTCCAAGAACATGCACAGAGCCATATGGTTGACTTCATTACTACAGTCATATAGAAAATTCTTCAATCATAAAGTTAATCTACGCAAACCCAGGGTTTTGTAAAAAATAAATAACAGTTTTTCTTACTCATGTTATTTCACTTTTATGCTTTACACATGAAATAGAAATTTAGATACATTTGTCCTTTTAGAATGACTGCATTTAATTATCAAAAAGTCCACAAGTGAAATATTCCACCCAGTTCCTCTATAAACTTTCCTTCCTGCTCCAAGCATTACTGTACAAGATCTTACTTTAATAAAGGAGCAGGGTTTTATGCTCATGATATCTCAAACTCCAAATCTACAGTGTATTCAGATTGCATACCGTCGGCACCATGCCGTTGGTCTCTTAGCCATGTCCAACAGGCACAGCAGTGGACTTGTAAAAGCCTGTGGTTGTAAAGCATTAACATGGACCTCAGGCTGAGTAAGACTTCCAGTGTAAGGAATGGATTTGGAGTTAATCCCCAGTGTACATTGAGACCATTAGTTATTCTGAGAGAGTGATTTACACCTTCACGTCAGCAGCCACTGCACAGGCCTACCTCTTACTCAGTACTCAGCCAAGCCCTCTTGGAGTAGGGGGAGAATTTGCCTATACAGTCACACCCTGATGCATAAACCTCAACCCTCACTGCAGCGCAGTTCACATAGCCACTCTAGTGCGATATCTGATATCACTTGTTTAAAACAAAAGCCATATTTACTGTGTGTATGCTATTTATGTATGTGTGTGGCCTCAGAATGCTACAGAGGACTCTGTCACTAGCTAGATTTCCATCCAATTGGCAACAGATTTCCATGTGAATGTTCTAAAATCAGCATAAAAACGATATGCGCATTTTCCCACCAGAGATGTGTTCCCATCAAATTGACTTGTTGCAGTCTGTGTGTGATGACATAGTGCACATAAAAATAACTTGCGCAGTTAAATTCCCATGTACTGAATAAAAAATTAAAGGTAAATGGGTTTCCATCGCATTTTCAACTCTACTGATAGTTTTGTAACAGTACATCACCTGCTCTCTAGCCAACAGCTCGCAGATAAAGTGTGGGTATAGGCTACCTACATGATGAGTGCGAGATTGTTTTTATTTGTCAAATGGCAGCCAAGCATCGATCATCATGTCACCAGAATAAGACCATCAATATTTATTGGAAAGGAGCATCAAGCTCATCAGCGTGCACTTTCACCACCCTGTGAAGTTTACCATAATTTATTTCATCTAGCCTAATACACTGCATGCTCTACTGAGTCGTAGTGGGATGAACACACAATATAATCGCCTGACTCCAAGTTAACTTCGATATGATAGTTAATATATCAATATTAAACGCTTTTTCTCTCATCATTCATTTTACCAACACAAAACGATCCTACCTTGTATAGCATATTTTGTTTTGTCAACATTTGGAAAGTTTACCGATAAATGTGCTGTTTCCATCAGGCCTGTCTGACATGTACTTACTCGCATAAAAAGGTTGCAATGGAAACCTGGTTTCTGTCTCACAATATTAGTTACATTACAATATATTTGATACCATGGTCATACCCCTAAATTATATATGAAATCAGGTTCATTTGACTCCTGAGGGGTTTCTTGGAATAGCAGTAATAAATAAAGGTATGATTTAAGTATTTGTTAATTGTTTCCTTGTTATATAGTCAATGTTTTGTTTGAAGATAAGCAGATGTAGCAAAGAGCCATGGTGCTTGTGCATTTAGCAAGCACAACCAATATAGAAAGGGATGTAGATGTGTGAATCTGCATTTTCCTAGCTATATTTGAAGAAAATAGGGCATATATTTTGGACAAAAACTTTTCAAAGACAGCTGAAATACAGTAGTGATTATTTGATGGCAATGATAATTGAAAATAGATTGACCAAAGAAAAAACAATTACACCAGTGTTATCATTCAGGAATAATTTCAATTAGGCACATTATTTGAAATGTGTGTGCTATTGTCTGAGTTTGTATTTTTGTTCCATTTTACAGCTTGGAGTATTATTGATAAGCTCTATCTTTTTAATGCTTGAGGATTGTTGGGTATTTTATGAGATAACGAATTGCTTTTGAGAATGTACTATACTTGTCTTAATTTTCATTTTTTTCTTATTTGTTGGTGTTCATAGCCATAATATAACTTTAATTTTTCATTTTAATCTGTAAAAACATTATGCTTTTTAAAAACTCTCTAAATTCAGGGATTTCAAAATCTGTCTATGATTTGTATTTCTGTTTGTGTAAAAACATGAAATCCCCAGTTTGTGTTTGTATGCTCTTGTGAGATAGAATATACTGGTAGTTTGTGTTTGTATGCTCTTGTGAGATAGAATATACTGGTAGTTTGTATTTGTATGCTCTTGTGAGATAGAATATACTGGTAGTTTGTGTTTGTATGCTCTTGTGAGATAGAATATACTGGTAGTTTGTGTTTCTGTTGTTTCATGTCGGCTGTCCATTATCAAAGTTTCTCAAAACAACGCTTTGTGTAGCCTGTCTTTGTTGTCCCTTAAAACATGTTTTATTGTCATTAAGGTGGTTGTCTTTTCTTGTACGTTTGGATGTTGTTGTTTATATTTTGATATTATAAAGAAACGTATCTTTTATATGTGTGTGTTCATTTGTATTACATGTGCACTGTATCATCATGTCAGATGCATACCTGGTCAAAACACATGGACACTGGGGGGGCGATGTAGTTCTGCCATAGCAAGGTGAATCCACTGCTACTCTATTGGGAATTAATGGGGGGTTAAATCACCACCCATTTCACACTATCGAGTCAAGGTGAGCCGAACTGTACTGCGCTGGCCTGGTTACATATCCACCACAGTTGCTGGAACCTTGCTGGAAAGGACAATGTTGAAAGAAAATATCTGAGCCAGCACAGTACTGTATAGGTCAGAAAGATACTGTAGTGTGTAAAGGTTATTATGATATGATCAAACCAAGTCATTGGGTTGAATTGGCCATGCAATTGTGGACATACTAATATTACCCATTTTTGTATTAATCAGTGCTAAATTAGATGAATTTATCAGTGGCTTGCGGTTTCGCCTGGCCCATTGACTACTTTAAAGGTAAAATATAAAATAAATGTAAGTGAAAAATTACCAAATGTGTCCTATAATGGCAATATACTGTAGACAGCAGAGACCAGAGTTGAATGTGCAACACTTATTTTTTATTACATGGGCTCGAACCGGGTGGCCTAAAGGGTTCTTCGGCTGTCCCCATAGGAGAAACCTTTTTGGTTCCAGGTAGAACCCTGTTTTGCTCGCTTGGATGCTTTCTCCAGTAAGATCGTTTCAGCAGAGGAAGAGGCGAAGCGAGAGGTCTCACACTCGCAAAAATATGTCCAGAATAAGGCCAATGTGTTTCTATGGCCATAATATGCAGACCTAAGCTTGTCGCCTGCCCTCCCGCCTTTGGGACAACGACTCCCATTGTTAGGGCGGAGACATTAGCAACTCGTCATTATATACAGATCTCTGGTTTCAGCCTTTTGCGAATTGGAAAGTAAAGTTGGTAGGTGCACAGTGCACTGTTCCATTAGCAGTGAGTGGGTAAAATCACTGGAGAAGCAAAGACAGAAAAAGAAAGTCATATTACAACCTATGTGTTGTGTTGATTGTTGTTTGCTGTATAACCTGTTAGTTAATATGCCATGCCACCGTGATATATAGGCCTAGGCCGAGACAATAAGAAGACACAGTGGCAGAATAAATTCAACCACACATTTGTTTCATCACAAAACCGGAGAGCAACCTCTGTCCGGTGGTCCACAAAGCATATTGTATGTAACAAGCAGTTACATGACCTACAGCATGGTCAAGTAAGTTAATGTTGCTGACATTTTCGGACCACTAAACAACTATTGATTTAGAACCACAGAGAGTTACCACAAGTCAAAAGAAAACAGGAGCTGCCTCCACTATTCCAGCACCATTTCAACTACAACATTTCAACATCATCAAATCACCTATGCTTAGTGTAATACAGTGACAACTAAATGATACGAAAAACCATTTAGTCCAATCAAAGTAAGCTAAATATGATGTGGCTGTCCATGTTTCTGATTTCTGTGTGTGTGTGTGTGTGTGTGTGTGTGTGTGTGTGTGTGTGTGTGTGTGATTGCGCGTGTGTGTGAGTGTGTGTGTTTGTTCGTGCAAGTAGAAAAAACATATTGACTCGCCCTCTCTTTTACAGTGGCTTGCGAAAGTATTCACCCCCCTTGGCATTTTTCCTAGTTTGTTGCCTTACAACCTGGAAATAAAATTGATTTTTTGAGGGTTTGTCCCATTTGATTTACACAACATGCATACCACTTTGAAGATGCAAAATATTTTTGTGTGTGAAACAAACAAGAAATAAGACATGCTCTACAACATTCGCAGAGTACGACCCTACCTTACACAGAAAGTGGCACAGGTCCTAATCCAGGCACTTGTCATCTCCCGTCTGGATTACTGCAACTCGCTGTTGGCTGGGCTCCCTGCCTGTGACATTAAACCCCTGCAACTTATCCAGAACGCTGCAGCCCGTCTGGTGTTCAACCTTCCCAAGTTCTCTCACATCACCCCGCTCCTCCGCACACTCCACTGGCTTCCAGTTGAAGCTCGCATCTACTACAAAACTATGGTGCTTGCCTACGGAGCTGTGAGGGGAACGGCACCTCCTTACCTTCAGGCTCTGATCAGACCCTACACCCAAACGAGGACACTACGTTCATCTACCTCTGGCCTGCTAGCCCCCCTACCTCTACGGAAGCACAGTTCCCGCTCAGCCCAGTCAAAGCTATTCGCTGCTCTGGCACCCCAATGGTGGAACAAGCTCCCCCACGATGCCAGGACAGCGGAGTCACTGACCACCTTCCGGAGACACTTGAAACCCTACCTCTTTAAGGAATACCTGGAATAGTAATCCTTCTACCTCCCCTTTACTACCACTGTCTTTTGTCTAAACTAACACCTGACTTATTTCACCTGCTAGCACTGACTTGTATAAAGACATTTACTTATTGTGATCGAGATGTAGTTGTCCCTGATTGCACTGACTTTGCTCACAGCTGCTTGTTTGAAGAAGTGTACTTACTGTGATCAAGATGTGGTTGTCCCACTGTCTATGCTAAGTTGAATGCACAAATTTGTAAGTCGCTCTGGATAAGAGTGTCTGCTAAATGACTTAAATGTAAATGTAATAAAAACAGAAAACTTGAGCGTGCATAACTATTCACCCCCCCAAAGTCAATACTTTGTAGAGCCACCTTTTGTAGCAATTACAGCTGCAAGGCTCTTGGGGTATGTCTCTATAAGCTTGGCACATCTAGCCACTTGGATTTTTGCCCATTCTTCAAGGCAAAACTGCTCCAGCTCCTTCAAGTTGGATGGGTTCCGCTGGTGTACAGCAATCTTTAAGTCATACCACAGATTCTCAATTGGATTGAGGTCTGGGCTTTGACTAGGCCATTCCAAGACATTTAAATGTTTCCCCTTAAACCACTCAAGTGTTGCTTTAGCAGTATGCTTAGGGTCATTGTCCTGCTGGAAGGTAAACCTCTGTCCCAGTCTCAAATCTCTGGAAGACTGAAACAAGTTTCCCTCAAGAATTTCCCTGTATTTAGCGCCATCCATCATTCCTTCAATTCTGACCAGTTTCCCAGTCCCTGCCGATGAAAAACATCCCCACAGCATAATGTTCTCAGGTTGATGAGAGGTGTTGGGTTTGCGCCAGACATAGCGTTTTCCTTGATGGCCAAAAAGCTCAATTTTAGTCTCATCTGACCAGAGTACCTTCTTCCATATGTTTGGGGAGTCTCCCCCATGCCTTTTGGTGAACACCAAACGTGTTTGTTTATTTTTTTCTTTAAGCAATGGTTTTTTTCTGGCCACTCTTCTGTAAAGCCCAGCTCTGTGGAGTGTACGGCTTAAAGTGGTCCTATTGACAGATACTCCAATCTCCGCTGTGGAGCTTTTCAGCTCCTTCAGGGTTATCTTTGGTCTCTTTGTTGCCTCTCTGATTAATGCCCTCCTTGCCTGGTCCGTGAGTTTTGGTGGGCGGCCCTCTCTTGGCAGGTTTGTTGTGGTGCCATATTCTTTCCATTTTTTAATAGTGGATTTAATGGTGCTCCGTGGGATGTTCAAAGTTTCAGATATTTGTTTATAACACAACCCTGATCTGTACTTCTCCACAACTTTGTCCCTAACCTGTTTGGAGAGCTCCTTGGTCTTCATGGTGCCGCTTGCTTGGTGGTGCCCCTTGCTTAGTGGTGTTGCAGACTCTGGGGCCTTTCAGAACAGGTGTATATATACTGAGATCATGTGACAGATCATGTGAAACTTAGATTGCACACAGGTGGACTTTATTTAACTAATTATGTGACTTCTGAAGGTAATTGGTTGCACCGGATCTTATTTAGGGGCTTCATAGCAAAGGGGGTGAATACACATGCACACACCACTTTTACGTTATTTATTTTTTAGAATTTTTTGAAAAATGTAATTTTTTTCATTCCACTTCACCAATTTGGACTATTTTGTGTATGTCCATTACATGAAATCCAAATAAAAATCCATTGAAATTACAGGTTGTAATGCAACAAAATAGAGAAAATGCCAAGGAGGATGAATACTTTTGCAAGGCACTGTATATCCAGTGGTAACGTCATAAAAAACAGCTGTCTGTCCCGAGCTCACTGGCGTGGGAAACTCTAGGTTAGTTGATACGTTGCAAGTTCTCGAGCAACAGCTTCAGGCTGGACCCAATTGATGATTTGATACAATGTTGCACTTCACTAGCGGTAGCTCAAGTCAAGGCAGGTAGAAAAGGAGGCAGACAGGCGGAATAGAGAGATGAATGTGATTGAAATTAAAGAAGTTAAAGGTTTTAATGTAATGTGCACAAGTACAGTGAAATAGCTTTCTTTTAAGCTCCAAACTCAACAACACAGTAATCAATATCAATATAGCACTAAAAATAACATAATGTACATCAAAAACACACAAGAAAATAAAAATAAGAAATAAAAAGATAACGAGAAAGTAAGAAGCTATATATAGGGTCAGTTCCAATACCATATTTATAATGTCCAGAGATACTGGAGTGATAGAGGTAGATATGTATAGGGGTAAGGTGACTAGGCATCAGGATATATGATAAACAGAGTAGCAGCAGCGTAAATGATGATTGTATGTGAGTGTGTGCGTGTGTAGAGTAAGTATAAATGTAAAGTACCAGTCAAAAGTTTGGACACACCTACTCATTCAAGGGTTTTTCTTTATTTTTACTATTTTATACATTGTATAATAATAGTGAAGACATCAAAACTATGAAATAACACATATGGAATCATGTAGTAACCAAAAAGTGTTAAACAAATCAAAATATATTTTATATTTGAGATTCTTCAAAGTAGCCACCCTTTGCCTTGATGACAGCTTTGCAATGTAGAAAATAGTAAAAATAAAGAAGAACCCTTGAATGAGTAGGTGTGTCCAAACTTTTGACTGGTACTGTATGTGCATGGTATGTGTGTTTGCTGGAGTGTCAGCGTACGCGAGTGTGTCGAGTCCTGTGAGTGTGCATAGAGACAGTGCAAAAATACAATTACTATACAAGGGTCAACTCAGATAGTCTGTGTAGCAATTCTGTTAGCTATTTAGCAGTATTATGGCTTGGGGATAGAAGGTGTTCAGGAGCCTGTTGGTGTCAGACTTGATGCACCGGTACCACTTGCCGTGCGCAAGCAGATAGAACAGCCTATGGCTTGGGTAGCTGGAGGCTTTAACGATTTTCAAGGCCTTTTCCAGGCCATGCGATCGAGGGCGGTGCTGTTGCCATACCAAGCAGTGATTCAGCCAGTCAAGATGCTCTCAATGGTGCAGCTGTAGAACATTTTGAGGATTTGAGGGTCCATGCCAAACCTTTTCAACTTCCTGAAGGGGAAGAGGCGCTGTCGCACGACTGTGTATGAACCATTTTAAGTCCTTAGTGATTTGGACACCGAAGAACTTGAAGTTCTCGACCCGGTCCCCCCCCCCCCCCCCTTTCCTGTAGTCCCCGATCAGCTCCTTGGTCTTACTGATGTTGAGGGAGAGGTTGTTGTCCAAGCATCACACTGCCAGGTCACTGAACTCCTCCCTGTAGGCTGTCTCATTGTCACCGGTAATCAGACCTACCACCATCGTCAGCAAACTCGATGATGGTGTTGGAGCCATGCGTGGCCACGCAGTGGGTGAACAGGGAGTTCAGAAGGGGACTAATACACCCCTGTGGGGCCCCCGTGTTGGTGGGTGAAGGTGCAGTATACACATTGGAATGGGTATAGGGTATCTGGGATGATGGAGTTGATGTGTGCCATAACCAGCCTTTCAAAGCACTTCATGATTACAGATGTGAGTGCTACAGGGCGGTATTCATTGTGGCATGATGCCTTAGAGTTCTTGGGAACAGGAATGATGGTAGTCATTTTAAGACGTGAGGCTTACAGACTGAGACAAGGAGAGGGTGAAAATGACTGTGAATTTGCCTGCCAGCTGATCTGCTCATGCTCTGAGAACACGCCCAGGAACACCGTCCTTGCAGGTGTTGACCTGATTAAAGACCTTACTCACGTCGGCCCCGGAGAGAGAGATCACCCAGTCCTCTGGGTCGGTGGGGGCCCTCATGCACGGTAGGGTGTTGTTATTGTCGAAGCATGCATAAAATGCATTGAGTTGGTCTGGAAGAGAGGCATCGTTGGGCAGATCACGGCTGGGTCTTCCTTTTTAATCCATAATGGACTGTAGCCCATCCCACATGCAGCAGGCGTCAGAGCCTGTGCAGTATGATTACAACTTATTGATATATTGTCCTTTTGCTCATTTGATGGCTCTGCGGAGGTTGTAGCGGGATTTCTTGAACTTGTTCCTGTCCTTAGCCGTAGCCTCAAGGTTGACTGTGATAGCCCTGTGTGTAGTAGCGCTGTCCTTTAGTTTAACAACAACCTCTGTGTTAATCCAGGGCTTTTGATTTGGGACACAGCAAACCTTCACTGTGGGGACAATACATCCCTAATGCAGTTCCTTATGAAGCCGGTGACGGAGGTGGTAAGCTCGTCAATGTTATTGGTGGAGTCTCTGAACATATTCCAATCAGCACTCGCAAAGCAGTCCTGTAGCATAATCTCTGATTCTGATGACCATTTCTCAACGGAGCGGAATCATGGGTACTTCCTGTTTGAGCTTCTGCTTGTAAACAGGAGTATGGAGTCATGATCTGATTTGCTGAATGAAGGACAAGGGGGGGCCTTGAATGCTTGCTTGTGGGTAAAGTAACAGTGGTGAAGGAGACATATTGCATACACCAAAATTTGGGTCGGAATTACAGAAAGAGCCCAGGGCAGATGAGTCGAAGTCGAAGTTGAATTCCCATGTACCGAATACAAAAATACACGTTAAATGGGTTTCAATCACATTTTCAACTCTACTGACTTCTCACCAGAAATGTTGCGTTATATAGCATATGTCCACTCTGGTATTGGCATGTGCACTCTAGCCAACAGTTCACAGATAGGCTACTGTGTGGGTATAGCCTACATGATGAGATTATTATGGACAAAAAAGCAAGATTATTTTTATTTGTCAAACGGCAGCCAAGACTCGATGATCATGTCACCTGAATAAAACCCTCAATATTTACTGGAAAGGAGCATCAAGCTCATCACCGTACACTTTCACCACCCTGTGAATTTCATCATAATTTATTTAATCTGTAGCCTAATAAACTGCATGCTTTCCCTACAAGTCGTAGTGGGAGGACCACACAACATGTCATTGTGTGACTTCAAGTTTACTTCGATATGATGTTAGTATATTAAATATTTAAGCATAAAAGCATTTCCACCGACATTTCTCGCATAATTCATTTTACCGACACAAAAAGATCCCACCTTGTCTAGCGTATGTTGTTTTGTTGACATTTGGAAAGTTTACCAAAAAATGTTCTGTTTCCATCAGGCCTGTCATGACATTTTTTATTCAACATATCCTTTACTCGCATGATAGATGTGCAGAAGATGATGTGCAAATAGAGATACTGGGGTGCAAATTAGCAAAATAAATAACAATATGGGGATGAGGTAGTTGGGTGGGCTAATTACAGATGGGCTGTGTACATATGTGTCTATATGGCAGAGGCTGGTGCTCCCACATTAGTTGGATTTTAACTTTTAGATTTGTATAATTTATTTAAACATGATTGACCGCGTGACAATGATTTTGAGAAACGGAACCGTTATTATTGAAATGAAACTGTTCCACGGAACTGTGCATATAGAAATAATCATAACTGTCTGGCACACAGATCAGTAGAAATGGTAGGATAAATTGTAAGCTTCCCCAAACTTGAAACTCATGAACCGCCTACGGACTTTACTACAACACCCATATAAAAAAATTGTAAACGCGCAAGCGTGTGCATACATAGGAGGTCCCTTGAAAAAATGTGCCCGCAAAAAATAACAAATCTAAATCCCGTCCAACTGATTCGTTCTGCTGCCTGCCCTGGCCAGGTGGGGCTCAGCTCCCCTGAATGAGACATTAGCTCCCCTAAATGCAACAAAAGTCAAACTTTGCGGGGTGGAGGGGGGTCTCTAAATAATGCAAATTTAACCATTCTCCTATTTTACAGTGGTAAATATGAAAATATTCCAATGAAAGGAACACCCCCACCTCTGTCATGGTTTAAACCATTTATTTCTATGTGGCAGTGCTGCCCATCCAGTAGTGCTGAATTAAGGCCCCAGCTGAGCTCCTTTACAAATAGATGTTCCTTTATAGGCCTAATTCCTAATTTGCGCCATTTGTTTGCTATGCGTCTTGATAAAAATAGCCTATCTTTTTATTCCAATGCATTAGATTGATTTGTTGATTCATGACTGTTTGCTTTTGTCAGTCAGCTGTTTAGAGCGCTCATTGCTTTGTTTTTCAGGTGTGCACGGGTACTGGTGTTCACTGTGCCGTCCGTGGCCAGAAGTAGTAGACCATTCCTGGACCGGCTGATGATGGTCGACAATATCACTAGACAACTAGCCTACCTCTAGACACCAATGCGCATCCAATCCAGCCAACAAATATACATTAATGACAGTAGGCCTATAGTTGACTCTTTCGGTTAGAAGCATTCAATTTTTTTCAATGGCATAGGCCTACATTATTTTGGATTTAAGTGTTTTCACGCCGAAACATAATGAAATGTTTACGTACACATAGTTACACTTACAGTGCATTTTCTGAGATCTCCAAGATCCATGATTTGTACAGGGTTTAAGTTCAATGTTCTAATTAAATTGTTAAATGCTTAATAATGACAAATAGCACTGTCATAAATGTCATTAATGTAAGGAAAGAAAGGTAGTGTTTTATGTCACACGATCTGTGAAGACTCCAAACATGAACTAATTAATTATGGACAGCTCATGAACTAGGGTGTAAAACATGTTTTGATTCAACTCGTGTATTATATTGAATGTAGGATACCTATTCTTCATGTGTTCAAAATTGCCTAGGCTACCGGCAGTGGTGTAGGCCTTAAGGCCTAGTGGAGGCTAAATGCATGTAAACACTTTTTTATTTTTTATGCATTGAAAGTATATGGAGCGTTACTTTTTTCACTGCGACCAGCAATCAGAGTTTATCCACCATTTTTTTTAAACACTAGATCACTTGCTACTGGTAGGCCTATTGGAAGTTCATAGTAATACACCTTGTAGCCTAGTTTAGTAAGTTGACTGTGTGTGTTAGGGTGACCATCCCGTTTTTCCCGGTACAGTTTCAGCCCTATTTCAGGTATCCCTACTTTTCAGGCTACAAAAAATGTCAATTTCTCAGCAAGACGCATCGATTAATGTAGGCCTAATCAATGGCAATTGCTGAATGTCATTAGACACACTTTTTGGTGTTTTGTAACAGATGTCTATTTCCATTCATCAAATGGCGCGATTATACATGCAGTTTGGATGCTGGAATTATTTTGGAGTGGAAGAACATGCCTACTATTTGAAGTGATTTGTTTGACAATCAGATAAAAATATTATGACTAGTTGTGCTCATATCACATTAAAAGGTAATACATTTTTACCATTTAAATTACGTCTTTATTATTATTAGGGACATGTATGTTAGAATGGAGGTTTAGAAACGACAGATGCATATGCATATTAGCCAATACATACAGTGCATTTGGAAAGTGTTCAGACCCCTTGACTTTTTCCACATTTTGCTATGTTACAGTCTTATTCTAAAATGGATTAAATTGTTTTGTTTTTTCCTCATCAATCTACACACAGTACCCCATAATGACAAAGCAAAAACAGGTTTTTAGAAATGCTTGCAAATTTATAAAAAATAAATATACAGAATTATACATTTACATAAGTACTCAGTCCCTTTACTCAGTACTTTGTTGAAGCACCTTTGGTAGCGATTACAGCCTCAAGTCTTCTTGGGTATGACGCTACAAGCTTGGCACACCTGTATTTGGGGAGTTTCTCCCATTCTTCTCTGCAAATCCTCTCAAGCTCTGTCAGGTTGGATGGGGAGCGTCGCTGCACAGCTATTTTCAGGTCTCTCCAGAGATGTTCGATCGGGTTCAAGTCCGGGCTCTGGCTCGGCCACTCAAGGACATTCAGAGACTTGTCCCAAAGCAACGCCTGCATTGTCTTGGCTGTGTGCTTGGGGTCGTTGTCCTGTTGGAAGGTGAACCTTCGCCCAAGTCTGAGGTCCTGAGCGCTCTGGAGCAGGTTTTCATCAAGGATCTCTCTGTACTTTGCTCCGTTCATGTTGCCCTAAATCCTGACTAGTCTCCCAGTCCCTACCGCTGAAAAATATCCCCACAGCATGATGCTGCCACAACCATGCTTCACCGTAGGGATGGTGCCAGGTTCTCTCCAGACGGCATTCAGGCCTAAGAGTTCAATCTTGGTTTCAACAGACCAGAGAATCTTGCTTCTCATGGTCTGAGAGTCCTTTAGGTGCCTTTTGGCAAATTCCAAGCGGGCTGTCATGTGCCTTTTACTGAGGAGTGGCTTCCGTTTGGCCACTCTACCATAAAGGCCTGATTGGTGGAGTGTTGCGGAGATGGTTGTCCTTCTGGAAGGTTCTCCCATCTCCACAGGGGAACTGGAGCTCTGTCAGAGTGACCATCGGGTTCTTGGTCACCTCCCTGACCAAGGCCCTTCTCCCCCAATTGCTCAGTTTGGCTGGGCGGCCAGCTCTAGGAAGAGTCTTGGTGGACTCCAATCAAGTTGTAGAAACATCTCAAGGATGATCAATGGAAACAGGATGCACCTGAGCTCAATTTCGAGTCTCATGGTAAAGGGTCTGAATACTTATGTAAATAAGGTATTTCTGTTTTTTAGTTTTTATAAATTTGCAAACACTTTGTCATTATGGGGTATTGTGTGTAGATTGATGAGGAAGAACATTAATTTAATCCATTTTAGAATAACATAACCTCTGAATCAGAGAGGTGCGGGGGGTGTAAAGTAACAGCATGTGGAAAAGGGGAAGGGGTCTGAATACTTTCTGAATGCACTGAATGGCATAGCCTACACATATAGCAATCCTTGCAATACAATCTTCTCTAAAAACAGTTGTACAGTGTGCTCTGCAATAAGATAACCAGAGTTGGATTTCTAAACCAGATGAGTTCTCAAATAGCAGCTGCCCAATACCATGGTGGGCATGCATTATGTTGGATGCATTGGGAAATATGGTATGGAGAGTGATAAAGAGCCTGTTGGATTATAGAAAACCCAGTTGGGAAATTAATGTTTGAGTTTCAAATACTAGATTTTTTGTGAATGGGAGTATATTTACTTGGTGTAAATTATTCACTTCCTACTAAACTTCTAAAAGTTGATGGTGCCAAAATCTTGCCAAACCATTCATTATTCTACTAACTATGACTGAGTGTGAGACATATTTTCCATAATGTATGTTTCATGCATACAGTGAGGGTGTCACGGACGTTGAAGGACTGGTCAGACCAAGCCGCAGCGTGAAATGCATCCATGTTTATTAAACCGTATAAACATACAATAACAACAAAAGTCAACGAAACGTGACGTCAGAAGGCTAACACACACAAGCCAAACTCACCGAAACACAAACAAGATCCCACAACATAGGCAGGAAAACTGGCTGCCTAAGTATGATCCCCAATCAGAGACAACGAGCGACAGCTGCCTCTGATTGGGAATCACAGGGGAGGGTCCGGGTGGGCTTCCAGCCTCGGTAGCGGCTCCGGCTCCGGGCGTGACATCTCCTCCCTTACTGACTCAGCGTTGCACCCCTGGACCGGTCTGGACCTCAACGCGGAGCTTCCCCTCTCAGTCCTCCCACGATGCACCGATCCCTGTCTGGACCCTGGTGTGGGAGACTCCGAACCCAGAGAGGGGCTGACGTCTGGACCCGGAGTGGAGCCGCTGACCGGAGCTGGACTGGCCACCGGTGGAGCGGACTGCTCTGGCTCCGGAGTGGATCTGCTGACCGGAGCTGGACTGGGCACCGGTGGAGCGGACTGCTCTGGGTCCGGAGTGGAGCCGCTGACCGGAGCTGGACTGGACCCCGGTGGAGTGGAAAACTCTGGCTCCGGAGTGGAGCTACTGACCGGAGCTGGACTAGACCCCGGTGGAGCGGAATGCTCTGGCTCCGGAGTGGAGCCGCTGACCGAAGCTGGACTGGGCACCGGTGGAGCGGACTGCTCTGGCTCCGGAGTGGATCTGCTGACCAGAGCTGGACTGGGCACCGGTGGAGCGGACTGCTCTAGCTCCGGAGTGGAGCAGCTGACCGGTGCTGGACCAGGCACCGGTGGAATGGGCACGGGCCGTGCCGGGAACACGCACCACTGGCTTGGTGCGAGGAGCAGGCACGGGCCGGGCCGGACTGGAAACACGCACCACTGGTCTGGTGCGAGGAGCAGGAACAGGCCAGGCCAGACTGGAAACACGCACCACTGGTCTGGTGCGAGGAGCAGGAATGGGCCGGACCGGATTGGGGAAACGCACCACTGGCTTGGTGCGGGGAGCAGGTACAGGGCGTACCGTGCTGGCGACACGCACCACTGGTTTGGTGCGAGGAGCAGGGACGGGCCGTACTGGACTGGGAACACGCACCACTGGCTTGGTGCGGGGAGCAGGTACGGGGCGTACCGGACTGGGAACACGCACCACTGGCTTGGTGCGAGGAGCAGGTACGGGGCATACCGGGCTGGCGACACGCACCACTGGTTTGGTGTGAGGAGCAGGCACGGGCCGTACCGGACTGGGAACATGCACCACTAGCTTGGTGCGAGACGCAGGCACGAGGTGTACCGGACTGGGAACTGACGTTAGAGATCTCTGACTGTACCAGTCTTTCACACTCCGTGCCCAGTCCTCCTCCCGTGAGGACTCCTCCCTGAGCCCCCACGAGTGCAGTGGTCGGTGCTCTTCTCTGTCGATCCCCAACCACCCTTTTAGCCCCCCCAAAAAAACGTATTGGGGCTGTCTCTCAGCCTTCCACCTCGGCCGGCGCCTTCTGTGTTGCCGTTGCTCCTCTCCTGCCTGGGCTTCCTCCTTCGCCCAGGGTCCTCCACCAGCCAATATCTCCTCCCAAGTCCAAAATGACTTCCCCACCTGAGTCCAGGGTGTCTGCTCCTGGGCACGCTGCTTGGTCCATTTTTGGTGGGATCTTCTGTCACGGACGTTGAAGGACGGGTCAGACCAAGGCGCAGCGTGAAATGCATCCATGTTTATTAAACCGTATAAACATACAACAACAACAACAAAAGTCAACAAAACGTGACGTTGGAAGGCTAACACACACAAGCCAAACTCACCGAAACACAAACAAGATCCCACAACACAGGCAGGAAAACTGGCTGCCTAAGTATGATCCCCAATCAGAGACAACGAGCGACAGCTGCCTCTGATTGGGAATCACACCCGGCCAAACATAGAAATAGAAACATAGAATCCCCACATAGAAAAACCCACACATATATTCACACCCTGACCAAACTAACTAGAGTCTATAGGTCAGGGCGTGACAGAGGGAAAAAAGTATTTGATCCCCTGCTGATTTTGTACGTTTGCCCACTGACCAAGAAATGATCAGTCTATAATTTTAATGGTAGGTTTATTTGAAAAGTGAGAGACAGAATAACAACAAAAAAATCCAGAAAAACGCATGTCAAAAATGTTAGAAATTGATTTGCATTTCAATGAGGGAAATAAGTATTTGACCCCCTCTCAATCAGAAAGATTTCTGGCTCCCAGGTGTCTTTTATACAGGTAACAAACTGAGATTAGGAGCACACTCTTAAAGGGAGTGCTCCTAATCTCATCTTGTTACCTGTATAAAAGACACCTGTCCACAGAAGCAATCAATCAATCAGATTCCAAACTCTCCACCATGGCCAAGACCAAAGAGCTCTCCAAGGATGTCAGGGACAAGATTGTAGACCTACACAAGGCTGGAAAGGGCTACAAGATCATCGCCAAGCAGCTTGGTGAGAAGGTGACAACAGTTGGTGCGATTATTCGCAAATGGAAGAAACACAAAATAACTGTCAATCTCCCTCGACCTGGGGCTCCATGCAAGATCTCACCTCGTGGAGTTGCAATGACCATGAGAACGGTGAGGAATCAGCCCAGAACTACACGGGAGGATCTTGTCAATGATCTCAAGGCAGCTGGGACCATAGTCACCAAGAAAACAATTGGTGAAGGACTGAAATCGTGAAGGACTACGCCGTGAAGGACTGAAATCCTTCTGCGCCCGCAAGGTCCCCCTGTTCAAGAAAGCACATATACATGCCCGTCTGAAGTTTGCCAATGAACATCTGAATGATTCAGAGGAGAACTGGGTGAAAGTGTTGTGGTCAGATGAGACCAAAATCGAGCTCTTTGGCATCAACTCAACTCGCCGTGTTTGGAGGAGGAGGAATGCTACCTATGACCCCAAGAACACCATCCCCACCGTCAAACATGGAGGTGGAAACATTATGCTTTGGGGGTGTTTTTCTGCAAAGGGGACAGGACAACTTCACTGCATCAAAGGGACGATGGACGGGGCCATGTACCATCAAATCTTGGGTGAGAACCTCCTTCCCTCAGCCAGGGCATTCAAAATGGGTCGTGGATGGGTATTCCAGCATGACAATGACCCAAAACACACGGCCAAGGCAACAAAGGAGTGGCTCAAGAAGAAGCTCATTAAGGTCCTGGAGTGGCCTAGCCAGTCTCCAGACCTTAATCCCATAGAAAATCTGTGGAGGGAGCTGAAGGTTCGCGTTGCCAAACGTCAGCCTCGAAACCTTAATGACTTGAAGAAGATCTGCAAAGAGGAGTGGGACAAAATCCCTCCTGAGATGTGTGCAAACCTGGTGGCCAACTATAACAAACGTCTGACCTCTGTTATTGCCAACAAGGGTTTTGCCACCAAGTACTAAGTCATGTTTTGCAGAGGGGTTAAATACGTATTTCCCTCATTAAAATGCAAATCAATTTATAAAATTTTTTACATACGTTTTTCTGGATTTTTTTGTTGTTATTCTGTCTCCCATTGTTCAAATAAACCTACCATTAAAATTATAGACTGATCATTTCTTTGTCAGTGGGCAACATACAAAATCAGCAGGGGATCTAATACTTTTTTCCCTCACTGTAAGTGTTCCCTCTGCCCCCTTGTCTTTGTGTGTGATTGTTTATTGTGGAGGTTAGTTTAGCTCGGTGGAGCTCTTTTATTTTGTATTGCCTGGATATTCACCCATGTGCCTTGTTGTTTCCAGTGCGCTGTATATTTACGCACTGGAGTGTTTGACGCATTGCTGCGTACCGCTGTGTCAACGGAATAAACCTGTTATTCTGTGATTAACCCTCCTGTGCCTGACTCCTTCAAATCACATCACCACAGAAACATGGTGGTAGGTTTTTTGATGTGCTGCTCTAGAGTTCCATAGCCCAGCAGACTCACCTAGAGGAAATGGGGATGGACACATGTTCGTTTTGATAAAAGTCTGAGAGACTTTTTCAGGGAGGATAGAGCATGAGTTGGAGTGAGTACAGTAAATCCAATCCAACCATTGGCCCTAGATAATATGCTAGCATCACAAGTAGACCGCCATAGTGAAGGAGGTTTACATAGTGCATCAAGTATACTATTATGAGTGGAGCTTACTTCTCTGTGCTCTCGAGAGATCGCAGGTTATTGTTCAGAAGGCTCTGGCGGTCTTTGGACCAGTCTGTCTCTGTAGCGCCTGGAGAGAGACGGATAGAAGTAGTGAGTGTACTTGAAAGAGAGAGCCCTCACCCCTGACCTACCACTAGCCCAGGGCCTCCTGCCTAACCCTCTAATCGCAGTCTCTCTGACAGGGAGTTACTCAAGGTGTACACCGTTGTATGGTGCATAGCTCTTCTCCACTTCTTATATGAGTGTAGTATTAGCTCTTGAAATTGTATAATGCAATGTAAAGGAAAAATATATATAATGACTTACTGGCATGAAGTGCTCCATGTTCCTGCTGATAGCAAGCCTCAATCTGGATGCAGAGAAATGTCCTGCCTTCGACTATGGTTGCATCTATCTCCACCAGGCGCCAATAAATCAGATTACAAACCTGCAGAGATTAACAAATGAAATTGGTACCTGTATTTAGCATTCATGTATCAGTTTGCCTTCATGTGTCAGTGGCGGTCGCCACTAGTTACCACAGTCACAAAATCATACATCCTGCCTATTTCTACAATTTCTCTTCATAAAATCTGATTTTAAACTTAACTCTAACATAACCACACTGATAACCTTATACCTAACCTTAATTAAGACCAAAAAGCTTAAGTTTGTTTCATGAATGTTTATGATTTGGCCAATTTTGACTTTGGGGCTGTGGTAACTAGTGAAAAGCCAACAGAGCAGATAAAAAATATGCACGCCATTTTGTGCACACCATGGTTACGACAAATAACATGGCATCAATGTGAATTTACAGCTAAGCTATTATTTATATTATGGCACCACGTATCATTTCACTAACAATTGCTACCTTGACTTATTCCATCATGACATCAACGACAACATGTTCCTTATTTGACTGTAGCTAGCTGCTAGTTTAGCCAGATTCAGCCTGTGATTGAGACCGGGCTAATTTGGCAGCCAAACTGCTTCAAATAGGGTGATTAGCCTAGGTAGTGTTAAGTTGCGTCAATTCAAATCTGGTATAGGAACAAAAAGAGGTCAATACACGTCTTCTAAAATAGACTAGTATTTTAATTAATGCAAACACTTGAATGGTAAATATGATGTTCGTATATACGGGCCCACTGAAAAACCATGCAGGGCAGACAGAGAACTGAGCTTTTGTTATAAGTTCTTCTTTAAATACTCTGACAGAGATAGTTCCCGCTCCCTGCTGGGCCTGTCAGAGTAGAGGCTGGGTGTGGTTTAAACTTACCCAACCTATCGATGGCGCACAGGCTGGTCCCAGCCCCTTGGCGCTTCACTGTTGCCGGGCATTAGTTGTTATCTTTACAACTTGTCTCGAGTCAGCAACCTCAGACATAGTTTGTTCTTCTTTGTAGCAGAACACATGTCCTTGAGCGGTTTAACAAAGAGGCAGTGTGTGTGTGAATCACAAGTCTGTCTCAGCCTACCCCCTAACGGTTCCTCACATTAATCACAGCTTGTTATGTTAAACAATCTATATCAGTACAGCACAAACCTATTATGTTTAATCATTAATGTATTCTTTCTAAGCTAGGCATCACATCTAGTTATAAGAAAATAGATCCCCACAATCCCCCTTTTCACACCCGCTGGGTGTGAACCCAAAATAAGAAATTTCAGGGAAATTTAGGATTCCCCCTTTTGACACCCACTAGGCTGTCACTCATTAAAATACAATACAAACAAAAAGAATCACACTTTTATTAATAGGCAATAATGATAATAAAAAGGCCTTCAGTCCTTCCATCTACACCTAACTTGTACTAGGTTGGCTACCAGCCACCCAGGAACTTCAAACCTTCACCTAAGGAAAGACAAACATTCACAATAGTTAAAATGGATTTATAAAACATAAAAAGACAAACAGGGAATTTTGATTCCCCCTTTAGACACCCACTAGGGTGTCACTCCACCATCTCACGGGGGGCCAGTATAAAAAAAATATGTATTCACTAACTGTAAGTCGCTCTGGATAAGAGCGTCTGCTAAATGACAAAAAATGTAAAATGTAAAATCTCACCAATAGCAAACCAAGGGTCATCCTCAGTCAACCCCATCTCAGTGTCTGCATCTCCTTCTTGAGCCCCTAGGAGGGGCATCATACCAGCCGTATGCACGACATCTGTAACAGACTTTCTCAAACAAGGAATTACACAGGCAGCACAGCACATTAATATTAGAAACACAACTACTAGGGTCAGAAATCCAGTAACCACCAGTGCAGCATACTTACCAAACCACTCCCCCAACCAGGAGAACAGTCTGTTTCCCTCCATTCCAGCCATGCTCTTCATTTCAGCTGATAGTTTATCTAAACCAACTAGGGCTTTAGAGATACTCCCGTCAGGACTGGTATTGTCAGGGATAAACGTACAACAATGGCTTACCATTCTATAGACACCACCCCTTTCTGCCTGATCTAGAGCCAACCTCTTTTTACTAAGTCATAAGAGTGAGATGGCGGATAAATGTTCAAAGATCCCTTTTGTTGCATCCCTAGTCTAGCCAATAAATCGTTGTTGGTCGTAACAGATATAATTAATCCAATCCACAATTTTGTTTGTCACCCATCAAAAGAATGTGGTAGTAAACCCTTCCCCTAATTGTTTCATAGCTCGGTATCCATCCAATACCCCCCTTGGTATCCCAATCGCATCCATCTAAATAGGGCTATTCTCCTTCTTGTTAAAACTCCTCCTACCTGTTTAATCCTTGGTTCCTGGTGACTAATTCTAACTAGCTGAACCAGTAGAACCAGGGCGCACATATCTAGCCACCCTTTTGGAATTCTCTGCCTTACACTGCCTTTACTGGCACACGCCCACCACACATCGGTTACAGGGGCTGTAAGGTTCAAAATTTTCTCCTGTGCTTCTGAACTTAAGTCCGTCACATTACTACTATCTCCAATTGATAATTGGGGATGTCTTTGTTTCTCTTTACCCCCCATCTGGATGTTCAGTCCCCCTCGGTCTCATATCCCCATCCCCAAGTGTGTTTAAACACTTGAGTCTAGGAACAATCCGCCTTGTTTTGAATCTGACAGTCTGCCCTTCTCTGACTCCCATTTTGTAGGCCACTCGTCCTTGACGGTCAGTATGTCGGGTCGCTTCTCTTCTCTTTTACATCTTAACAATGGTAAGGGCATAGCACAATTGGTGGTGGATCTTGACATATCAAGACCATTGCCGAGACTATGATGCAACTCAAGTTATCCATATTCCCAAAAACCGCCAACCCTCTCCTGTCCTCAGTCTTTCTGCTTGGTACTACCCCATACTCACACCCTGAGAACACACTACAGTGATGATAGGTCAGGGTAGGAGATCTTCGTTAACAGAGGTGATCCCCAGACCCTATTGGTCCAGTTCTTCTCTCTAACTTTGCATGTGTTCAGTGGTGCTTGCATGTGTTCTTACCTTTTTGCAGTGGGTAACGTGGACCCAGGTTGCTCTTTCTGCTATTCTAATGGCAAAGGCAGTTACCAATATAACCTGATAGGGCCCTTCCCAACAGGCCTGCTTCCAGTTTTTCTTCTTTAGGGACTGGATGCTCACCAGTCACCTGGTCGCCCATGGGGCGGCGCACAATTGGCCCAGCGTCGTCCAGGGTAGGGGAGGGAATGGCCGGCAGGGATGTAACTCAGTTGGTAGAGCATGGCGTTTGCAACGCCAGGGTTGTGGGTTCGATTCCCACAGGGTATGAAAAAATAGAAAATAATGTATGCACTCACTAACTGTAAGTCGCTCTGGATAAGAGCGTCTGCTAAATGACTAAAATGTAAATGTAATAGAGTGGGTCACCTTCTCCTTTAGTTCACCTGTGGGGCACAAAACCTCTGACATACGGGTGTGGTTAATAAACTATCTTCACACGTGTTCAGCTCTCAATTTCTATTTCTGACTGCATTCTCTTTCTAGACTGTATATATATATTTTTTAAAGTATTTTGTCCTCTCCTTCGTATATATTTATTATTTAATCCTACCATCTACTACTATCATCCCCCTTTTGACACATGTTTTGCCCATGTGTCAATATTACCACCTACTAAACAATCACTTAGGTAATATTGGTAATTTATCATCCAATTGCCATCCCTTATTTTTTGTATTTTTTTTAGACTGTCCCTTGCTTCTTTATTGCTCCTCCCACTTCCTTTGTCTTTTATGGCGGCTAAATTCGACTTTCATTCAGTTCAGAATCAATTGTAATCCAATCAATCAATCCCTTATCTTGTAAAAACACTCATGTTTAGTTCAAACTCTGTTCTACCCCGGCTCTCCCGGGCTTGACCTGAAGACTGATGGTTGGACATGACAGGTCCATACTTAAATCTTTCAAACCTAACACAAACCCCCTAAATTTAACATAACAACCCTTTATAACCATCATACTAGGTGTGTTGTTTTTTATTTGAAAAACCCAAATTGAAAAACAACAACCACAAATAGCCAGGCCCCACTTAATTTGGTAGCTCACTTTTATGACCTAAATACTGCCTAACTTCACTACTGCTCCCCCTAGCCCTGGGCAACATTCCAATGAGATAAGCTAATCTCTTTCTCCTGGTTATACATTTTGTTAACCTTCAATTACCATCAGTAATCTAAAGATGGTAGTACACACAAAACATGATACAGATATCCCCAGTCCTAACCCATCAATAATTGTTTGTATCAATCTAATTCCTCATAACTAATCCATAAAACCACTAAAAATTCCTCGAGTACACAATGATTATTTAATTGATTACCCTAAATCTGCTACATGTGATATCATCTCAAATGATCCATTATCAATTATTTGATCAACCCCCTAGGAAAATCTGTCTCCCCTTCTATTGTTCCTGTCCCCCCTGTAAATGTCATATTTCATTTTTTAGCCAATACAATCACGGTTACATCAAATGTTCCCTCCTTTGGCCATTTAGTTACTATCTTTCTGGTCCTTTTTCTCATTTGTTAGAGATATTACCAATATCTTCACTATTTTCTGGGAACCTTCTCTTCATGATTGCTACTGGTGATCCTGCCATCTCTACTTCTGGTGTGGTCTAATGTCTATATTAGGGTGTAAGGTAAATTATTCCTGTTGTCTTTTTCAGCTAAACGTTTCATATCCCTCAGTTAATGGTATTTTCTCCCTAATATATCTTCATACTCTTCTTCTTTCCCTAAATGAGATGTAATCCCTTGCCTTTCCTCTACTATCCTTCTATCATTACTGGATCAATGATAATAACTGTAATAACTATTAATAATAATTGTAATAACTATTTCACATTAAATTGTGCCTTTTTCTGATAATGTTATAATTGTAGCCTATTGCATTACTTTAGTTTAAAATATAAGTTTGTTTATTTAACCAATCTAGAACCCACTATAGATTGGTGCTATTCCCTCAGCATAATAGCTAAAGCTACTTGCATCCCCTGGTCCCCATAACGAAAATAAATTATCGTTCTAGAATTCACCAACTATTTGCATACACCACTGGTGTTAAGCAACCTATCGAATAAAGTAATAACAATTAGAATTTATCAAAGCACTGCCTTCCAGTCAAGTATTTAGACCTCTACTTGAAATCTTACAGCTCAATCTAACTCGCTGGACTGTCTATATTTTATTTTTATTTTTTTCCGCTAACCAGAGCCATAAATTTATAAATTATTCTCCTTTGTCCTCAACTCAATTTTCACAGCTCTATCGCCATTTCAGTTTGCTATTCAATTTCTTTAACTGTTCTCTCTGATTAGGCCCTAATTAATAAAACAAATACTTGCTATCGTTGATAACCATACATTTAATGATATTCCTATCATTTGAACTATCTCTCACCCCTCCCCTTGCTCCTTCCTACACAACGGGGGAGGCGCGGGGACCTTGTAACATATTTTCATAGACCTTTCTAGAATACTTCTACTTAAGCTATCTAATTCAACCTTTCACATTTCTCAATCCACGTAGTAATCTAGGTCTATAGCCCCAATGTGAAAGCTTTACCCACTGTCCCTACCTGGGTTCGAACTACATACATTGCCAGTCACCCAACACATTCCGCGATCCTTTCAAAGTAAATACTTCCAGTTCATAGAGCAAGTGACGTCACCAAATGAAAACCGCACTAGCTCTCACCTCATTCTAAGGTTGCTGGGGCCTCTTTCATTCCCCGCCAATAGATTAGGTAAGGCTATCAGTGGGTACTGGCCCCCTCCTACTCTCTCTCTCTCTCTCACTGCTTCTTCATGCTCTTCTCCCATGTCTATATAGTGCCCTCTGGGAGGTGAAACCGGTCTGTGCATCATTGGTTGAGAGGTTGCTCTACTTCCTTGTTTCCTCTCCTCGCTCAGGTCTCGCATAGTTTGTTCCATTTCCTTCAGCTGTTTCGTGCCTCTTCTTACTTCCTCTTCCAATATTTTCACTTTCCTTTTTCTTTCTTCTCTCTCTTTGTCCTCCCTTTCCTGATTCTTCAGTTCTGTTTGGGTCAAACCCCCATCAAGCATCAGGCTTCCCCTGTCGCCGTCACCCATCAGGCTCATATGACTTTCTTCTTCCTGTAATCTGGACATGTTCTCAACCCCGTCTCGTATAGCTCTTGCTGCTTCTAGCAGTGCCCCACAATATCCAGTGTTGGAGCCATTAGCTTTGGTGCCTCGTATGGGGGTGGAGACGTAGGCAGTTCTGGGTATAATCTTGGTGGCGGTTCCGTAGGAAACCTGAATCCTTCCTTCTTGTCCTGCTTCTCCTTATTGTTCTGTTGTTCTTCCTACATTATCTTAAGTTTTCCCAACATTGCCAGTCCTATTCTTTCCTTCAGCCTTGCTTTTTCCATTGCTTCCTTGATTTTACCCCTTCTGGGTTCTCCCTCTTTCTTCCATTCCCCCTCTGTTTTCTGGGTTTTCCGCTTCAACGTTTCCAGTATTCTCCCTGGTTTGCCTCCTACAGGCACTCCACCGGGGGATAGTATACAACCATCTTCTATCCATTCCTTATAGAGTTTCTCTCCTCGCCTGCTCCATTCATTCCCGTCCTTTCCTCCATTAGTTTCAAATGTGGATTTTAGAACCTTCGATATTCTTTCCGCTTCTCCACTGGTAGTCATGTTTTTCGTTTTAATTTGTAATATTCGTCCGTTATTTAATTATTTAATGTACGTCTATCTATTTATTTAAATCAAATTATTCCCACCTAATTAGTTAAAGTCGGTGCATATTTATATTTAAACGATAAAAAATTATTTCAGTCTAATTATTTAACCAGTATTTTGCAGAGTCAAACATCAAACGTTAAATTAAATAATAAACCAAATTGCTTCAACTTAATTATTTAAAACCAGTATTATGCTATGTCAAACATCAAACGTTAAATCAAATAATAAACCAAATTGCTTCAACGTAATTATTTAAAACCAGTATTATGCTATGTTTGTCACGGTTTCGGCCGAGGCTGCCTCTCTTCCTTGCTCGGGCAGGCTTCGGCGTTCGTCGTCTCCGGAATACTAGCTGCCACCGTTGTATGTTTCTATGTTCGTTTGGTTTTGTCTGGATTATGTACACCTGTTGTCGTTTAGCGTCATTAGTGTCCTATAAATTCTCGTTGTGTTTGTCAGGTGTTGTGTGTGATTGTTTTCGCTGTCGTGTTGGTGCACTACTATTTACAGTGCGCTATTGTAGCTTGCCTCCTTTGTGTAGGAGAGTATTTTTCGCACATGTTTAGTGCGCCCTTTTGTTTACGCCTGTGTGCGCATTTTCTCGCCTCCGGGCTGTTGGATCGTGTTTTGAGTGTGCATTACTAAAGTCTTTTGGACTTATCTTCTGCGTCCTGCGCCTGATTCCCACACCACACCCACCTACAGCACCCGCTGACAGAATCACACACCATTCAGAATGGAATCAGCAGGAGCCGCAGCAGCACAGGAGACTTTGGAGGATCGGGTCCGGGAGCAGAATGACCAGATCCTTCGGATCGGGACCGCCCTGCAGGATGTTATTAACACACTTCAACGCTGGGAGACCCGAGGGACACCCCCAACTCCACCTCCCCTGCCATCACCATCAGCCAGTCAGCCCATTCCCGCTCCGGAACCCAGGGGAATTCGACTCTCGCTCCCGAGGGCCTACGATGGGACCGCTGCCGGGTGTCAGGGCTTCCTTCTCCAGGTGGAGCTATACCTGGCCACCGTGCACCCGGCGCCCTCGGGACACGAGAGCGTGTCCGCCCTCATCTCCTGCCTTACCGGCAAGGCGTTGGAATGGGCCAACGCCGAGTGGAGGAGGATAGACGCTACCACCATCACATACGCTGAGTTCTCCCGCCGCTTCAGGGCGGTGTTTGACCATCCACCGGAGGGGAAAGCGGCGGGGGAGCGTCTGTTCTGCCTCCGGCAGGGGAGGAGGAGCGCCCAGGAGTTCGCGTTAGAATTCCGTACTCTAGCGGCGGATGCAGGGTGGAATGAGCGGGCCCTCATCGATCACTACCCGCTGTAGTCTACGAGAGGATGTCCGTCGGGAGCTGGCCTGTAGGGACACCAGTCTCTCTTTCGACCAGTTAGTCGACATGTCCATCAGGCTGGACACCCTGCTGGCTACCCGCGGACGTTCCGAGGGGGGTCCGTCCATTTCACCCTCCAGCGCCTCCGAGCCGAGCCCTATGGAGCTTGGGGGCGCTGGCGCTAGAGAGAGGAGGGGTCGGAGTACGAGGGGGCCCGTCTCCTGCACCAACTGTGGCCGTGGAGGACACACCGCGGCTAGGTGCTGGGGATGGCCTCCTAGGGGAGAAGACGACAGGCCCCGCACTGGGGAGTCCTTCCAGGTGAGTAGGCGCCCCACTCACCCAGAGCTCTCTGTTGCGCACTTCTGTATACCTGTGCGTTTTCCACAGGTAGCACCTCATTCCCAGCATAAGGCGCTGGTAGATTCAGGCGCGGCTGGGAATTTTGTTGATAGGAAATTTTGTTTAGAATTAGGGATTCCCCTTCTTCCTGTTGACGTCCCATTCCCCGTTCATGCCCTAGATAGCCGTCCGTTGGGATCGGGCTTGATCAGGGAGGTCAAGGCGCCACTTAGGATGTGTGCGCAGGGGGGTCATCAGGAGATGATCCAGCTATTTCTGATCGACTCGCCTGCGTATCCGGTGGTGCTGGGCATGCCCTGGTTGAGTATCCATAACCCGTCTATTTCGTGGCAGGAGAGGGCTCTGATGGAGTGGTCTGCCCAGTGTGTGGGTCGATGTTTAGGCGTTTCCGTAGGGGCTACCTCGGTGGAGAGTCCAAACCAGGTGCCCGCATTGCACGTTCCCCCTGAGTATGAGGATTTGGCTATTGTGTTCAGTAAGTCGAGGGCGACGCAGTTGCCTCCCCATAGGCAGGGAGATTGTGCGATAGACCTCCAGGCAGGAGCTGCGCTCCCACGGAGCCATGTGTATCCTCTGTCTCAGGAGGAGAAGAGAGCTATGGAGACTTACATAGACGAATCTCTGAGACAAGGATACATACGGCCATCCACTTCCCCTGCGTCCTCGAGTTTCTTTTTTGTGAAGAAAAAGGATGGAGGGTTACGCCCGTGCATTGATTACCGTAGTCTCAATCAGATCACGGTGAAGTACAGTTATCCACTTCCTCTGATTGCGACCATGACGGAGTCATTGCACGGGGCGCGTTTTTTCACTAAATTAGATCTCAGGAGCGCGTACAACTTGGTGCGCATTAGGGAGGGCGATGAATGGAAGACAGCCTTTAGTACCACCTCGGGCCATTACGAGTATCTTGTCATGCCATACGGGTTGATGAACGCTCCTTCAGTTTTCCAATCATTCGTGGATGAGATATTCAGGGACATGCAGGGGCAGGGGGTGGTCGTGTACATAGATGACATTCTCGTGTACTCGTCTACCCGAGTCGAGCATGTGGCTCTGGTGCGCCGAGTGTTGAGGAGGCTGTTGGAGCAGGACCTGTATGTCAAGGCAGAGAAGTGTCTGTTTTTCCAGGAGTCGATCTCCTTTTTGGGTTATCAGTTGTCTGCGTCAGGGGTGAAGATGGAGGTTGACCGGGTGTCAGCCGTGCGTAATTGGCAAACGCCAACCACTGTGAAGGAGGTGCAGCAGTTTTTGGGGTTTGCGAATTACTACCGGAGGTTTATCCGGGGTTTTGGACAGGTGGCAGCTCCCATAACGTCTCTTTTGAAGGGGGGTCCGGTGCGTTTGCAGTGGTCAGCCGAGGCGGACAGGGCTTTTGGAAGGCTGAAGGACCTGTTTACCTCGGCTCCGGTGCTGGCGCATCCGGATCCCTCTTTACCATTTCAGGTAGAGGTGGACGCGTCAGAGGCCAGTATAGGAGCCGTGCTTTCGCAACGGTCCGGCACGCCACCTAAACTCCGCCCCTGTGCTTTTTATTCCAAAAAGCTCAGTCCGGCGGAGCGAAATTATGACGTAGGGGACAGGGAGCTGTTAGCCGTGGTACAGGCCCTAAAGGTGTGGAGGCACTGGCTTGAGGGGGCTCAACACCCTTTCCTCATTTTGACTGACCACCGTAACCTGGAGTACATCCGGGCAGCTAGGAGACTGAACCCTCGCCAGGCGCGGTGGAATATGTTTTTGACCCGGTTCGTATTTAAGATCACGTACATCCCTGGGTCACAGAACGGTAAGGCAGACGCACTGTCTCGGCGGTATGACACGGAGGAGAGGTCCGTGGAGCCCACTCCCATACTGCCGGAGTCTTGTCTGGTGGCACCGGTAGTGTGGGAGGTCGATGCTGAACTCGAGCGGGCGTTGCGCACCGACCCTAGTCCTCCTCAATGCCCGGAGGGTCGGACGTACGTTCCGCTCGAGGTTCGGGATCGATTGATCTATTGGGCTCACACGTCACCCTCCTCTGGACATCCTGGTATAGGCCGGACAGTGCACTGCCTTAGTGCTAAGTACTGGTGGCCCACGTTGGCGAGGGATGTGAGGGTTTATGTCTCCTCCTGCTCGGTGTGCGCCCAGTGTAAGGCGCCTAGACATCTGCCTAGGGGTAAGTTACTACCCCTGCCCGTTCCACAACGACCATGGTCTCACCTCTCGGTGGACTTCATCACTGACCTTCCTCCCTCACAGGGGAATACTACTATACTGGTCGTTGTGGACCGGTTCTCTAAGGCCTGTCGTTTGCTCCCTATGCCGGGTCTTCCTACTGCCCTACAGACCGCCGAAGCTCTATTCACCCATGTTTTCCGGCACTACGGGGTACCCGAGGATATTGTGTCTGATCGAGGTCCCCAATTCACCTCCAGAGTCTGGAGAGCCTTTATGGAGCAGTTGGGGGTCTCGGTGAGCCTCACCTCGGGTTACCATCCGGAGAGTAATGGGCAGGTGGAACGTGTGAACCAGGATGTGGGTAGGTTTCTTAGATCATACTGCCAGGACCGGACGGAGGAGTGGGCACGGTACGTTCCCTGGGCAGAAATGGCCCAGAATTCCCTACGCCATTCCTCCACTAACCTAACCCCTTTCCAATGTGTGTTAGGTTACCAGCCGGTTCTGGCACCTTGGCAGCAGAGCCAGATCGAGGCTCCTGCGGTGGATGAGTGGGTGCGGCGCTCGGAGGAGACGTGGAACGCTGCACAAGTCCACCTGCAGCGGGCCCTCCGTCGTCAAAAGGCGAGCGCCGATCTCCACCGCAGTGAGGGACCGGTGTACGCACCTGGTGATCGAGTCTGGCTCTCTACCAGAAACCTGCCCCTCCGCCTGCCCTGTGGGGCCGTTTAAAGTCCTGAGAAGATTGAACGAGGTGTGTTACAGATTACAACTACCTATTGAGTATAAAAGTATTAACCCCTCGTTCCATGTGTCTCTTCTCAGGCCGGTGGTAGCTGGCCCACTCCAGGAAAATGAGATCAAGGAGACTCCTCCGCCCCCATTGGACATCGAGGGGGCACCGGCGTACTCCGTGCGGTCCATCTTGGATTCGAGACGTCGGATGGGGGG